AAGAAGTTGCCTCTTACACAGGTGGTCATTGTGGTGCCCCATTATGCTAGTAGTCAGTGATGTAGTGCTTCCTTACTTTGGCGACAAGGATATTTTTGAAATAAATGAAAATTTTATAATAATTTTAGATGCTACGATAATTAATAAAGAGAGAAACTATATACAAAACCACTATATTTTCAACATACTGTAGATGTTTTGAAAGGCCTTTTTTGTATCATAGACATACAGTATACAATTCCTCTCCATTACAAAGTAAAAGCACTGTACACTTAGCCACTGTGCTGTCCCCATTTACACTGTAGCATAGCAGGTGGTGGAAATAGAGATTACTCTTAATTCCAATATTTGTGGAGCCTTTGTATCCTTTCCAGTGTTGGATATGGAAATATCCATATTTGGATAGGGCCATAAATCTGTAAATAACTCTACCTTGTTAATTATTGTCTAAATAATAGCTCTAGATACACCAGATAAAAGAAGAGGGCATTTTTGCTAGACATTATCACCTTCCTCCCAGGAGGCTTCCTCTTCCTTTTCATTCTGTGAGATGAAAGCCAGTGTAAATCAAGCACACCTTCATAAACAACTGAAACTCACGCTATAAAGCCTTTCATTGAATGCTTTTACCACCCGTGGTCATTATGAGATTCAGCATTGGACCTGTATTGTAACTAAGAACATAGAAATACACTATAGAGATGTCATCCTGGGAGAACAGTTTATAGGGTGATAATGAAATGGCATGTCACAAAAACTAGGTGTGTCCAAATTGTGAAAGGTGTGGGACTTAACATAATCTGTTAAAAGGGGGCTAACATATGTGTACAGTAGAAAAGCCGGTTGTAGTTAGTCACATTCAACTGGACTTGTTCTGTAATATTGAAGATGTCTTATAGTTTATTAAAGCCACTTTTTCTGTTCTACTGATGTGGCTATATAGACCATTTTGAAGCTGGTTGATTAAAAATGTAGAAAAGAAAACCAGCACAAATTTGGAGTTTCAGCTCATCGTAACCAAGTAAGTTTAATCTTGTGAGTTGATGTAAAATCAACTAGCATTTGTTTTTCCTTAGCGATAGTATGGACGAATTTTTAGTTGCATCAAAGTGATATTAGACAAAAGAAAAAAAAAAAGCATGAGGTTCCCCCCCCCTCGCCCAATTGATACCAGGCCCTTTAGGTCTGGTAGGAATGTTAGTAGGGACCCCATCAAGTTTAAAATGAAAAAAGAGTTTTAAGGGGGAACCCCCGCCCCCAAAAATGGATTAAAAAACTGGGGTCCCCCCTAAAATTCTTACCAGATCCTTGATCCGATCACAGGAAGGGCAGGGAAGGGGGGGGATGATTGAGCGCCCCCCCCCTCCCTGCATCATACCAGGCTACGTGCCCTCAGCATTGAGAGGGTGTCCCCATGGCGATGGGGACAAGGGCCTCTTTCCCACAACCCTGACGCGGTGGTCGTGGGGGTCCACGGGCAGGGGGGGTTATTTGCATTGGGGTATTTAATTAAGGGGACACCCAGATGTCGCCCCCCTTTTGAATGAGTAATGGGTACTTGTACCCCTACTCATTCACTAAAAGGTTCCAATGCTGAGGCCACATGGCCTAGTATGGTGCAGGGAGGGGGGCGCTCATTCACCCCCCCTCCTTTCCTGCCCTGCTGGGCCTGTGCTCGGATCAAGGGTCTGGTAGTAATTTTAGGGGGGACCCCACTTTTTCCCCATTTCTTGGGGGTGGGGTTCCCCCTTAAAATTCCTACCAGAACTAAAGGGCCTGGTATGACTTTTGGGGGGAACCCCATGCACTTTTTTAAAAAACTTGGGTGGTCCCACCTAATATTCCTAGCAGACCTAAAGGGTCTGGTATCAATTGGGGGGGCCAGGGATGCTTTTCTCTTTTGTCTAATGTCCCTTTGCTGCAACATAAATGCATTCATAGCGAAAATTTGTACATACTACTGAAAATTCAGATTTTTTTTTTAAGTTGATGCTTTACACAATAAAACTTAATTCAGGAAAGAAATTAAGATGCATCTGAACTTTTCGCTATCAGAAATCCGTATTCGTTTGCATTCGAAAATTTGGATGCATCCGTATGTACGAATTTCCAAAAAAATTTGTCCGAAAAACGAATCTTTCCGAAACGAATCGTACGAAGTCTATTTATCATATTAAACAAAAGTAGTGATATCACTGGGGCATGAACCATACCTTATTTATTCCTGCTTGCATGTAGATATAATCTGCTGATTGTCTGCTTCAGTTTAGCGCTAGGTTGCACATCTTGAAGTGACACTTTTAAGCTCTTTCCGTGATTTCTGTGATCCTTGTCAAACACTTATATATATATATTTTATTGAACAATAGTAAACATGACATTGATAGTATTCATAGGTTATATAGTAAAACAATTTGTCTATATAGTTATTGTAAAGATACAAAACATACAGGGGGGAATTTATGAAAACTGGAGCAAACAGAATCTGGAGCAATTGCCCATGGCAACCAATCAACAGTCTCTTCAGTTTTCTCAGGTAAGATTTAAAAATGAGACAGAGAACCTGATTGGCTGCAGTGCAAATCTGCTCCAGATTTTGCCTGCTCCAGTTTTGATAAGTCCCCCCCCACAGTATAGAGCTATTACCAGGTATAAGGACTGCTCAATTGCTCTTGTAAAGACCAAGAGTAAGTGGCAAGTTTCGATATAGTAGGCTAAAGAAGAGAATAAAATGGAAATGGAAATTGGCAGTAGTTCCTTCATCAAGCTCACTCTTATAGAGCTTGCTTTGCTTGTGCTCGATCATCTATATGGAGAGTCGATCAATTGTATATGTTTCAAACCGTCCTTGTCAATACCAACCAGGCTCAACAAAGGAATCGGTTGTGGTATACCTGGCTATAATGGTCTGTGCTATGATAAACATTTTAACATATATTGTGAACATAAACTAGCACTCATCTGCAGCCTCACCTCTTCAATCAGTCTCAAACCAGTAATCATATCACATTTCAGTCTTTCCTCTCAGGCCCAAACATTTACAATATTAGACCAATGGTAATTTAGCTTAATGGCTAATAATAATGGGAAGGCCATGGTTTTGTTATTAAACAGGTACAATTACATTCAAAATGGTAAGTCATTAAAATGGATCCACATTAATGTGCATTTTTCTTGTATAAATCAGCATTGAGAAAGCAGATAACTTGCTTTTTGAAGTCTTGCATATATTTGATTAGGTAATTAAAGAATAACATCTAGTAATGGGATGTTGCATCTTATAGCTGGGATGAATTAACTTCAGTGACGTCAGTCAGACTTCTGTTCTATATATATATCATTGTTTGAATAGCGTGCGTGTGTTGGTTACGACGATGTGTTATTTCCTCCACTTGCTTAGGTGATGAAAATTTTACAGTGCTTTCCTAGTTTACTGTAGTGCTTTTTTTAGGGGGTTTATAAAATGTGATGTTGTGTATTTTGTGATCTACCACCTTGCAAAGTATTATTATGATAAACAAAAGATTCCAGGTTTCCTTTATTAATTGTGCTAACATGCTGTGTCTTGTACAAGGTGGTACTTGTACTGTATATTAACCAGAATTGGGAAACTTTAACCAAAGAGCTATATCTTACATGGAGTGCTAGACTTTCTTCATTCTGAGTCCCTAGCGGCACTACCACTGACCATGCACCCTTGAAGTTTTTAGATCAGTGGTTTGTGTGTTGGATAAATACATCTTTCATTTGGAGCAGTTGGAAAATACTTACAGGTCTTTTCCTCTGCACATGAGCACTACATCACAACTGATTGGCTCCTTTTACTACCTCTCCTAATCTGAAGTCTGCTGCACAGGAGACTGCTAAAGGCTGTTAAAAATATGTTTAATACAGATTCAGATTATTTGTGTCTCATATATTTTCGAGCATTTCAGCTTTAATGGAATCCAAGATTCTGTCAAAATTATTAAACCACAATGTAAACATGCAGAAAAGGTTAAAAAAGCTCAGATAATAGAGTATTGCTTGTTAACATGCTATAGAATTAGTATTTTAGTCTATGATCTGTACTGTGCCCTCTCTTTCTAAAAAGACATTGAAGCGGAAGTAAAGGCATGTTAAAAAAGCCTCACTGGAGATTTTAGCCATAATATGCTAGTATACACAACATATTAGCACATTATGGCAGACTTACCTGCCAAAGAAATCCCCTCCCGCCCTTGCTCCTCCCTCACTGGGGCTGGCATCTTCTCCCTAGTCTTCTTCCAGGTTCAGCATCTTTAGCCTACTGATTGATCGGCTAGCGTGCAGGCACAGGGGAGTTACTTTATCTCAGCATGCCGTGTCTGTGCGTTGAGCTGTGCATACGTGGCTCAGTGGACAGGAAAAATAAAATGCTGACAGGTAGAAAAAAGTTTTTTTTGTCAGAAGAGACTTACACACTTCTGCCATTAAAAGCCTACCAATAAGCAATGTTAGGGGAAGCTTTAGTTCCACTTTAACAGTGAGTTAGGTGTGTATATTACATATGTTGTTGGATACTAATCTATGGTAATAATTCATGAACCAGTTAGAAATACGTAAAAAATTTTAAAGTAAATTTTTTTCTTTAGGGATGACATCTTGGTAGAATCCGTTTAATTACTACATGTAATTTTTATTTTTGTTAGAGGTGCATGCAGATTTTGAAATGATATAGAAGCAAGCTCTAAATACAGTTTGTAAAGAATTGAAATTGTAAAGCCTAACTGCAAGCACATTTTAAAGCTTTGGATAGAGATGAGTAAACCCCAGTCAGTTTCCATTGCTGTCTGTGACCCCACTGCATGTATGATTTCCCCTCACTTGCTTGAATCTAAAGCAGCTTCAGATAACAGCAATAACAAGAGACATTTAGTATCTACAAACAGCAGCAAGGGCATGAAAATATAGCTATATAGTAAAACTATCAACCCTTCTCTTTTTTACACAATTATATTTTTGACATTTTGTTTTCATAGGAGGAGCAGGGCATTGCCTGTGAATTGCTGGATGAAGACTATCTCAAGTGCAGTGTGGGGTTTCCATTCATGAGGTCCAGGACTAAGGTAAGGTGCCTCAAGTCAGAGTTTGGTAGCCATTTAATCATTGAAACTAAATAATTATCACTGGTTTCTAAGTATTTTTGGTTTTCTCCAGCAGGTGTTGGTGGGTTTTCACTCTTCTCGCTTTTTGCAAAGCTTTTTGAGGCTTATACTCATAAAATACTAAATAATGTGCTGTTTTATACGGATAATCAAACAGAATATGATGAGTTTGAAAACCTGGTACATAGCAACCAATCTGATTATAGTTAAAAGCTTGAGCCAGTAAAGAAATGCATGGATACCTACCTGTCCTGCTGTCCTGATGTCCTTTGCAGGCGGAGCTTGTGCTAACCTTTTTTACAACAGTTAACAGAGGTCCTGTATTTTTATAAGTGCATTTAAGAGAATGAAAGCTAAACCATGCCCCAGTGTGTTAAAAATTAAGTCTGGATATGTCTTTCAATTGACAAACGAAATGCAAAATGAGCTGGATAGCTCCTGTGTAGTTAACCACTTAAGCTCCAGTCACCATTTCAAAACAGCAATAGAAAAACAGTTCTCTTTTCCAAAACCTTTTAAAAATAGATGTGATTATGAACAGCTACATGCAGGTCTGGCAGGGTTTTGAGTTGAAACTGCCTGGTGTCAGTCAGTCAGCTCCTGGGCTTCAAATGCATTGTGGTTACATAGAAAATCCCAGTGACTATAACTTAGTATACTTGATTAATTAATGATCTGTTATATTATGATTATTTTAATTAATGGCGCATGAAAGTACAAGGCTGAAGCTTACATTACACAGGAAAGTGAGCAATTCATCAAAACACATGGAAATCATAGTTTCTTTCATAATTTGCCTATTATGTGGGAGGAGGATAGAGCAGCTGTAGAATTCATTATTTTTTCCAGTTTCCTATGGGGTTCACAAAAGGGTCTCTGCTTCTGCACTGCGCTTGATATCTTGAGTTTGTTTTCAAAGTGACATTAGATGAAAGTTTACCATGAATGATTTCAGTCAGCACACAGAAATGGAGTAAAGAAGACTTACAGGTGCAAATGTATTCATTATGGGTCTAGAACACTTGTTTTCTCATTCTAGACAATATCCTTTTGCAGTTATAAAATGTTCCATCCTATGCCAAACTTTAAAGGGCAGCTACTCCCCACTCACTTGCCCTCAGTGGAAGCCATATACCCCTGCCCAGCACCACTAAGCCTTTGCCCAAAAAGTCCCCTCCACATCTAGATCTCAATGTTCACTCGCCCCATTTATTCCTGTGATTGGGACCATGCTTCTCTGCATGGCAGGGGCTGCCATGAGTATGGACCTAGCCATAGGGATGAATGCAGCAGTGGTGAACGTAGATGCTAAATGTTTCCAGGACTTTTCTGTAAAAAAAAAAGGCTGTGCAGCAATAGGCAGGGCCACACAGTGAAGATTTACCATAAATTAAGGCACCTAATTAAAGCAAGGTTTGGCAACACTACCAATCAAGAAGTCCCAAAATCTCATGCATTTTGATCGCGTTCTAATTGGCTGCCCATTACAATTCCACACCAGGCTCTCTGTACTGAAGAACTGGGCATTGCAACTCACTGACTGTCGCTTGTTAGAAGCAGAAAAGAGTGAATGTCTATTCCAAGTAATCAGGCAGTAGCTATGGAAGTCGAAGATGGCGTGCTGTTTGTCAGGCCTTTCATAAAGATAAGTTGCTGATATATTTGCAAACGGTAACAGCTGCATTTTTATTGGTTTAGAGATTAATTCTTCTAAGTCCCCTGCTAGAAAAAAGTGTACACTTCCAAAGCCCTAGCAAACCTGATAAGTGAATATCGAAATGTTAAAAAGTAAAGCAAATGCTTTCAATTTGATCCTGTATAGCGTAAATGCGTATCAGGATTCAGTGAAAATATGCACTAACCTTTTCAGACCCATCTTTCTCCTACAGCATGTTTTTTAATAAGTTACGCCTAATTGCAGCACCAGAGAAATCTTTACTGCAGATCTGTCAAATCACCCAATTATTCATGATGGTTTACAAGCTCAACCAAATCTCCTCAGTCTTCCAAGCCCCCAATGTTTAACCTGAAATTGTCTCCCAGTTTTATTTTTTGTACTAAAGGGTTTGCAAGCTTGGTGTTTGGTAAAAATTATGGTCAGGTTTGAGCAGAATGCAGCTTTTTCTGTATTAGGTAGACATGTAGGTAGAATGCAGGATGGATGGGAGGCAGAGGTGGTGAGATGGAAAGATTTGTGCTACTATTGGTCTTCTGTTCGGAGCTAGATCAGTGAGGGAGAACAGGGGTGTCCAGAAGTATGGTGTCCCATCTTCCAGCCTAGGGGTGGGAGCAGATTAGTGATGTATTGTACAATGCAGAGGTTGGTGAGGATGGATCTGCCATTATATTATGTCATGCCATGCCCACTCTTGTGTAGTAGACATGTACTGATGAGTCAGTGAGCAGTGATTTATGTAAGTATCCCCTGTTTATCTATATACTATATAAGACACCTACATAAGGTTAAACATGACTATGAAAATACATTGATATTCCTTACAATAGCCTCATAGAGAGCCCATTCACACCAGGGCGGTTGCTGATCAGCGCGGTTACCGTGCTGATCTCAAAAGAAAGGTTTTGGGAGTTTTTAATTGCGTTTCAGTGCTGAAACACAATTAAAAATGCCCAAAGCCACACAGATCAGCACGGTTCAGTTGAAAGCTCTATGAAAACCTCACTGATCAGCGTGGCAAAAATAGTGCAGGGAGTAGTTAGGGCGGGGGGCGATTCGGATCCGCGCGGTCGCATGAATGGTCCCCATAGCAATGTATGGGATCGTTCACGTCGGCGGATCCGTGAGGACAAATCCCCGTGACCGAACGGGGTCTCAAGGCTCACTAGATTACATATTATTCTGCTTTTTAAGAAACGTTTCCTTTATTCAAATTAACCATTCCCACTTTTTGCTGTAATATTATAAGTGTGCGAATACTATATCACCCTAGTGAGCTTCTGCCTAGGTTGATATCTCAGAATCAAAATTCATTTTATGTTGCAGTGATAGTCATTTATTTTCTACATGGATTCTGGATTTAGAGGATTACAGGGCAAGTGTTTTTTTCTTATATATGATTGGTCTTTGAAAGAAAATACTAGTTACTCCGCAAGCACTCCACTTCTAAATCAGCCCCTGAATGCTGGTTTCGGATGCAAGTAGTTGATGTTTTTGGTTGCAGCAACCTAGAATTTGTCTGCAATACAGCAGTGAAATAGAGATTATGGGCTTTATTGACTAAAGAGTAACAAATTAAATCACAAGCATTAATAGCCAAAATACCCCGTGGTCTAGGGTGGCAGGGCTTCCAGGGGTAGTATGTAGCTTCCCACCCTGCCTGCCAGCTCAATCCAGCTGGGTCCTCAAAAGTCTCTGTCCCCACAGACTTTGTCTATATTGTGCCATGCACTTTCAGTTAACCCACTGTTGATCTGTGCACCTAGAATTAAACTGCTGCCATAGTAAAGCTATAGTTTTATTCTGGTCATTGTTTCTAGGTGTATTAACGCAGAGTGGGAAAACAGTCTTTTTCAATATTTTCACCCCCATCCTTGTGGTGTTCTGTGTGGCTGTGTACACCCCACACCTAACCACCATGGTTCAAAGCTGCATTCCACCTTCCAAGGATGCACATCCGTTTACATGAGGATTGCAGCAGAAAAGGTTTATCCTCCAAACTGTAAAGTTAATTAAAGCATGCTGAAACTTTTGTTTTAATCCATTTAAACATTTCTAAAATTGAAAACCCTCTCCAGTGTGGCTGAAACTGCTAGAAAATGACTGTGTGCATGGCAAGCATTAGAGCACTGACAGATTATATAATTCTTTCATGTGTAGTAGTGACAGCAGATATATGTGGCACATATTTACATTATTTTCATTTTTATTACTGTAAGAAGCAATTATATATCAGCATTCCTAATTCAGTACAAGAATGTAAACACACTTTTTTGTTTTTTACATTCTGAGGTAGCCAGCGGAATTAAAAAAATTACAAGTTAGTAAAAAAAAAAACAGCACGGGGTCCTCCTTCCAAACCATACTAGACCCCTTAGGTCTGGTAGGAAAGTTAGGAGGGACCCCAAGTTAAAAATACCAGACCATATGGGAGGGTGCTTTTTCATTCTCCACCCTGAAAAAGCACCTTGTCCCCGTGCCGATGGGAACAAGAGCTGAGCCACTCGGCTACCTTCGGCTGCTGTACGGGCTATTGTGAATAGCCTGTACAGACAGCTCTTTGGTTCTCCTGAACCGAAGGACTCTGGCAGCCAAAGTGAGCCGAAGGATTAGCAGATGCTTCGGCTCCTTCGTGAATATCCCTCTTAATATTCATATATATTTACTGTGTAAAGCATAAATATACGTATATATGTAAACAATGTAGGCCTTGACAACTTTAGGTGCCAGTTCTGTTTAGTTGGTGCGAGAATGGAATTTTTATTATTGTTTATCTTTGTCTTTTTATTTCTAAGCTGATGTGTCAGAACAATCCTCCCATGTACAGTATGCATTTTAAGTCCATAACTTAACCTAGTGGCTCCTGTACTGTTACTTGAAGGTTGTGCTTTCTATTGTCTAATACTCGTCACATTTGGAAAGATGTGATCGTCATCATAACAGTTGTTTCAATCTAGGATTGATTGTTTATAATATTCATTATGGATCGATTGTTTAAATATTCTTATAGGTATATGGCCAGAATAAAACAGAATGCAAGATTACTCAGTAAAGTTAGAATTTATATAAACATGCTTCATACTGAAAAACTATTAACAGTTTAGTCTCTAGCTCGGTAATCCTCATATATGTAAAACATATGATTTTCTTGAAAGAATAATAATAACTATTGTGGTTATTATTTAAAAGCTGTTCTGTATTACTTATTTCCAACAGTATGACTTCAGTGTGATCTTTGATACCAGTCACCTGTCCGGAGAGGATGATATTCTTCAATTCCTGGCCACTGCACAAAGGTATATAAATAACTACCTGAAATCATAATATCCGTTCTACTCCCAGTTTTAGGAGTTCATGTTGACTCAGCATTACCTTTTTGATGCTTTATTCTTTCATTAATGACCATTCACTGCTACTTGTCTTTATTTAGATAACACAACTGTAATTTACTTACAAAATACTGTTATAAGAAACCAGTTATTTTTTCCAAGGTCATATATAATCACAAGTTTTGGAAAGAAATGTCTCTTTAAGACAATAATCTTTATCTAAGTCTGTATAAATTACAAAGCAGTAGTTACACTAGCCTAAATAATATTACTCAGGGGCTCTTACCCTTCATATGATTACAGAGCCCCAGTGAATTGCCCAAAATGTCCCCATATGCCCTTCTCCAGACTGTCAAAATTATGTTTACTTATGGATAGCTAAACAAAAGAACAGTCAAAAGAAGATCATAAGGAATTTATCATCATTTTAATCATTGCAAATCACATTTTTATTAACTTTATTCTGCCATGTCAGTTTAAGTCTCTAAATTGAGGATGCCAGATTTGTGACTTTTACCATCTTTCTTTTGGTGCTTTCCTTCCTCATTGCACAGTGTGTGCTTATATTGGAGCCATTAAAATATTTTACTGCTGGTCTGTTATCCCTCTGTAAATATTTAAAACATATTTATTACATAAAATATATAAAAAAATAGTTTATCTTTATTGAGGGACTATCATAGACTAGAAAAACAGTAAACTGTGGAAAAACCATGCTACATGTATCAAAAATGTTATTGTGATCAATAATAATAACCACACTACTTCCAATCTGAAGAAAAGGAAGCAGTCATAACATTCCTGGTATTAAACAAGATCTTTTATTTCTCTGTAGAACACATTAAATGGTAATGTAATAAATTAGTGATTTCTAATATATGCTTTTGGCCAGGTGTGTTATATACCTCACCAGCTAAAGGTGAGATGTCAGCCTAAGGGAGAATATTTTAACGGGTTGAACTGCAGTCTACAACCTGTTAGTGTTACAGAGGTCTCTTTATAAAACACTTTAAGCTATAATATTTAAGCAGCTAGCCAAAGACAGACAAAAAATGAAAAGTAAGCTAATTCTATTTTTACATGTATTAGATGGGCGTGCGTGATTTGGAAACCTCTTAATGACATTTAATAGTTCATTTATTATATTTTTCCCCACAGCGGAAACATTGAACGGGCAGAGTCCTTACATGACAACACCCTTATTCTAACCGTGCCTCTGAAGCATGAAGTGGACTCATCAGTTACGGGGTAAGCAACCAACTGTCATCTTATAGCAATACAAAGGAAGTGTACAATCTTCATGCCAGTGGAAAATCACATTCTTTTTATGTTTGTATATTGAACTTTCCGGCACAAGCTTTTATCAAGCCATTGGTTCTCAGACTGTAAAAACAGGATACATTGCTGTTATCATTATTTTGACATCCCTTCCCAATATGAATAAAATACATTTTTCACTTTCAACTTCTTTAGCACATCTGCTAATGTTCACCTCTAATTTGCCCTACAGTTATCTAGAGACTAGAAACACTAAAAAATTATATATTGAGCTCCTCAATTTTTCTTTTGTTAAATTTATTAAAAGTCTGTCAACCTTGCCCATTCAGAGTATTGTGGTAATTTTCAATGGAGGAAAGAACAGTAGAAGAGTGCTAGTAAGGTATCAAAGTGTCAGGGAAGTTTTGCAAAGACACTGTTACTTTGCCATTAATTGGTAAGATGATATTTTTGTCAAGCCATTCCACCTTAAAATGCTTTGTGTTTTTTTTCCTAAGCAGTAATAATTTGTTCATTTTGTTTAGTAGCCTACCGCTAGCTTTCCCTATTTGAAACCCAAATTCTTTTACGGTTACCTTATTTCCACGTACCTTCTTTATGCATGTCTATGGGCTTTCCCTTTAAGCAGAACTATCACCTCCCATAGTTACTTAATTATAAGTGAATATTCACTTACAGTTTTCTCTCAGTCCCCAGCAAAGTCCCACACATTCATATTGACCTTGGCAGTAAAGTTCACTTAATTCAGTTTCGTGTAATGGTGTGGCTATGATGCTGTACCACTCCTAAATTCAGAACAGAGTTGCCACTCTCATGTAGGCTGTGGCTGCTTGCACTCAGTGGGATAAATAAATGATGGTTAGAAGCATTGTCACTGCTTATTTACAAGCCTGTGGCTTGTCAGCCATCACCTGGCCACACCTAGTCCTGGCCACTGCTTTCTGCATTGACAACACTGCCTGAAACCCCACAATTGCAGTGTCTGGGAGGAGAAGCATGTGAGACACAAATAAAGGTGGCTTACCCTTTTATATGTTCTTTGCTGAAAACTCCAGGGCTGAAAAATCCTCTTTAGTTCCCTCTGCTTATGAGGGAGCTGGGCAACAGTGTTTGCCAAAATTAACCCTGTCTGTACTGTGCTGGCAGATCTCTATTATCAGTTGTAAACTAGTTGTGCAGGACTGTGTGTCCTAACAAAGGGCCAAAGACCTCAAGGTATTAGTACAACCCCAATTACAAAAAAGTTGGGACACTGTGTAAAATCTACATGAAAACAGAAGCGATGATTTGCAAATCTCATAAACCCATATTTTATTCACAATAGAAAGTAGAAAACATATCCAATGTTTAACCCCTTTGCGTCCACTGACACACAGTACGTCATTGGCAGTGGGTCAGTTTAAACAGACTCCCCAGGCCTGACAACCTCACCATGTTTCCTGGGCTCTTCTGCCCCTCCTGTGACCCCGAGCCCGGCACACTGCATGTCAGCAGGAAGCTGGGGAGAAGAGCGGTGAACTTCCATTCACTGATCTACTCCCCTCTCTATGGGACCGGGAGCGGCGCGGATTACATCACTTCTGGTCGCTGAGCTGTCATTGCACTTCAATAGCGTATTTAAAGTGGATAGGTGATACTTTTGGACCCCCAGTATCACCATAAAGTGTACCTGTTACCACCAATATGCTATCACACGGGGGACTTGCCAGTATGTGATAGCAATTAAAGTAAAAAAAAACAGTTTAAAAAAAATAATATAGAATAAAATAAATGTAAAAATAATTGTAAAAAATGTTTTAAAGTCCCCCGCTGCTGCAAGCTCGCGCCCATTCACACAAACACACGTCGGGTGCGCCTACATATACAAAAACATCGATCACGCTACACATGTTGGGTATTGCGGTGCACGCCAGCAAAAGGGTTAAACATTGTGACATGTTTTCTATTTTCTATTGTGAATAAAATATGGGCTTATGGGATTTTTTGGAATTGGGGTTGTTTGTTATTGCTCTAATTTCAAAAAGGACAAACCCAGCATGGCTATTACATTTTTAAGATCTTGTACAGAGCCTAATTTGTTGACTCTTTTTACAGGACTGTGTCTCCTTCCTCTTTTGTGTATGGCGATACAATTGATGCTTCTAACTTCATCCACCTTCAAGATATGGAATGTGACTTCCAACCTCTCAACTTCACATTTCAGGTGTGGTCACTTTTATGGTTCACAGATGTGATTTACAAAAGACAAGACAATAATAAGTATAATTGAATGGAAACCGTTTTTTCTTTTCATGTACTGGAGGCTTTTCCACACAGTCATCCAACAGTTCCACAAAAACATTTCAAACCTGAAAGCTTAATTTAAAGATCCCATGAACCAGTGGCTAGTACAGTTGCCTCAACAGTGATGAGGGATTTAATTTTTGCTACTCAGAAAACCCGAGAATATTCACTGAAGATACAAGGCACACATAGCACCTAACACAACAAACTACACAAGAAATGTGCTGACCCACAGAAAAGTTGGTGTTAGTACATTTCGAGTTCTTGCCGCCTTTTCTAAATACCTCTGTAAAAATCCATGTGTGCCTTACCTGGATACAGTACAGAAAATATTATAGTGTGCTCTCATAGGTGTAAGAGTAGTAACAGATCCCCTTCATTCACCCTGGCTAACCACAAATGACAGTTGAAATCACTTTTACATCAACTATCATAATACCAGCTAACGCAGGTTAGATCTGGGATTGCGTTCATCTGAGGTATTGTGAATTCCTTTTATTAAAGGAGAACTATGAGGTGAGTGCTTTTCACTCACCTCATAGTTCTAGCCGACCTGTGACAATGAGACTGTCACAGGCCGGCTCAGTAGATCGGGAGGTGAGCGAACACATGCCGGCGTTCGCTCACCTCTCGATCCTATCACAGCTCTCTGCCGTGACAGGGGAGGGGCTGGATTCCCCCTGCTCCGATCCGCCAGCGCTGACTGGCGGATCGAACGGGGGAGGGGGCAGGCACAGCTGGCTCTGCCTCTTGATAGGCAGAGCCAGCTGTCACTCACGCAGCTGGGCGGATCCAGACATAATTGTTGGGATCCGCTTCAGCTGCGGCGTCTCAGTATACCGCGAGCTGTAGCTCGCGGTATACTGAGCTTAGGGTGACGGGAGGGCGCTAGTTTGTGTCCTCCCGTTACCCTAAGGAGAACTATGGGGAAAAGCCTTAACCACATAGTTCACCCACATTTTTTTTAAAATATAAAATATGGGATCATGTTGGGTAAAGAGACACCAAACATGTCAAGCTTTAGATTGCGCACGCCTGCAAAATTGCAAAAAATGAACATACCTAAAAATGGGCAAAGGTGACGCTTTAAAAGCTTTTACTGCTCATTAGACATGTGCACTGGCAAACAATTCGTTTAGTTTCATTTTGTTTTGATTCAGATTTTACTTTATTTCGTTTTTTGGGATTCGGGTCCGAAAATTCAAAATTCGTTTCGGGAAAAATGAGTTAGCGGTAGTCCGGTTTTCCTTTTTCCGTTTTTTAGTTTTCCTTTTGTTCGTTTGTTGCAGCAAAATGACATTTGAGGGAATTTTTTTTTTTTTTACAGTCTGCAGAAGAGGGTAAAAAAAAGCGTGAGGTCCCCCCCAATTCATGCCAGACCCTTTAGGTCTGATAGGAATGTTAGGAGGGACCCCCCTCCCAGTTAGAAAAAAAAAAGTGCGCGGGGTTCCCCCCAAAATCTATACCAGGCCCTTTAGGTCTGGTAGGAATTTTAAGGGGGAACCCCAGCCCCAATCACGGCTCGCTCTGCCCATCTGTTCACTTTCGAGCAGGAATGTAATTTTGCGGTGAGTGTTCGTCGGGTTCGGACGGTCGTCATGATTGACGCTGGATTACATCAATGGAGCCATTTTTTTTCTTAATTAAAGGAATAGTCAAAAATTGTCTCTTAGTGAATGGGTACCCCATTACTCATTCACAAGGGGGGCATATAGGTGCCCCCTTAATTAAAGGGGTATTCTGATGCAAATAAGCCCCCTTGCCCGCAGACCCCCACAACCACTGGGTCAGGGTTGTGGGGAAGAGGCCCTTGTCCCCACCGGCATGGGGACACCCTCCCAATGCCGAGGGCACGTGGCCTGGTAAGGATTATGGGGGGAACCCCACGCACTTTTTAAAAATTTTTAACTTGGGGGATCCCTCCTAACATTTCTAGACCTACAGGGTCTGGTATGAATTGGGGGGGACCTCTCGCTCTTTTTTCCCCCTCTTCTGCAGACTAAAAAAAATTCTAATTTAATTTTGCTGCAATTAAATTTCGTCCAACAAACGAAATTTCGTCCAGACTACCGCTAACGAATTTGCATTCATTATATCTGTAATTCGGATACATCCGAATGTCCGAATTTACTAAATTTCGCCGGAATTTTGATTCGGAACGAAATGAATTGCACATTTCTACTGCTCATCAGTCTAGTGTTATCAGTGATTAATGGCCCGACATTCGTGGTGATATATAATATGTGTGGCAGAATTTTCACACGTAGACACACCCGATGCATATATATGTTTATATGTGCATGCATGTGGGGGACTTACTTTTTTTGTGTTGTTTTTTGCTTTCTTTATATGTGACTTTAATGTTTTTTTTCACTTTTTGGTTTTTACACCTAACTTTATTGCTATCACATAGGGGGGAACAAGCCCCCTATGTGATAACAAAAATACAATAACAAATATACAATGACAGGTCCTCTTTATTAAGACATAAGTGGTCTTTAAGACCCCCGAAGAAGCCGATGGAGCAGAGATCTAATTCACCAGCTTTTTCTCTGGCTTTAGCAACCAGAGAAATGACAGCTAAAGGCTGAAGTGATGTAATACACATCAGTTCCACCTTCAAGCATCGGAAGAGAGATTAGCAGTGGGGGAATGCTGACCTCTCCTCCGTTTCTAGTTTAAGGAGCCGCTGTGCTGGTCCCGGGCTCGTGCGGGTGGTCGACACAGCAGAGCCAGTGATAACCGCCAGTGGCAGTGGAGGAGGGAGGAGCAGTGGTGGTGGGGGGAGCGCAGAGGGCAGCTGCACATTTTCTAACATCATACAAGTGATCGGGCCACTATAGAGCGGCCTGAATGCTTGTATGTCACAGCCTGTACCGGGTGTTAGAAACATTTTGCAGGGAAAAAAATCACATACACCATGTATTTACATTGGGCATACAGCAGGAGGTTAATTAATACTTATTCTCAGAAGCTGCACAGCAGATAGCTTGCAGTAGCTGTCTGCACAGTGAAATATCATCTTTGTTTAGTTGTCCTTTAAATAATATTTGTATAGTCAATAAATGTGAATTGGCTGTATTTCAAAGAGGCAACAACTTTGGAACATGAAGTTCTACTTAAGTGCAGGAGTAATTTTAGCTTGTACTACTGAACCAGTTGTGGTTCTTTGGCACACAGTTGCTTCAGAATTATTGCACAACTTCAGAAACTATAAACATTCAGAAGCATTCATCTATTTTTGTATTCCATTAGCATAAACTTTGATTGCATTCTTTAAAAAAACTTAAATTGTTATCATCACGCTAAAGCTATTAATGTACAGTAACTGATAGAAACCAAACAGGTTATAGCTTTTACCCCTTTTGAGTATTTATAACAATTCTAGAATACTTATGAATCGTTTCTAGGGTTACTGGAAATCAAACATTGCTCCTTACTGTTAAAAAACAGCTAAATAATAAGCCTTTTTCAAGAATGCCATACATATGTTTTTCTATTGATTAAAGAAAACTAATATCTGAGTCTATGTATATAACAAATATTTGTTTCTTTCTCATTCATTGAGGGACACAGGATTCAGAGACAACTGGGTTATACTGCCGGCTGCAAGATGCTGGCAAACAAAGAAAACTGACCAGCCTGGTATAAACCCTTCCACACCCATCATGCCTCAGTATTTTTGCTACTGTCCTAGGAGGATTCATGTCTTTTCCGTACTGAAAAAAGTTTAATCATTTTTACTAGCCATTCTTTCTTTTTTAAGACTATTTTTTTGTTTGTTTTAAGACTTCATCCACAAGCTTCTTGAGTAGGTCACTTTATGCAAACATCGGGATCGATGCATTCATCGGGATCGACGCATCCAGATACAAAGCAATAGCTTTGTATCTGGACTCCAATGAACTGGCAATTGTGGGACAATGCTGGACATTCCAGCTTGGAGGTCATCTGAGTGCTATGGCGGTTGCATACATCAACCATCAAGGAGGAAACAGAAGTCTTGCTGTGGTGAGAGAAGTAGAAAAGATTCTGTCCTGGTCAATACTTCTTGTCCCAGCCTTGTCCTCTATTTATATCCAAGGCGTGGACAATTGGCAGGCAGACTTTCTCAGCCAGTAGCGTTAGGATCCCAGGGGAACAGGCCCTAAACCCAGAAGTGTTTCAGAGCCTGTGTTACAGGTGGGGGACACCGGATGTGGACCTTCTGGCCTCCAGGTTTCAACATCAGCCTGAACAGGTTTGTCTTCAGGTGCAGAGATCCTCTGGCAAATGCTCTGGTGGCTCCACAGAATCAGTAAAACCTGATCTTCACCTTTCCCTCCCTAAAACTTTCTCCTTGTCTGCACCACAGGATTGAGATGAAGGGCATTCCAGTGAACATCATAGCTTTGGATTGGTCCTGTCAGGATTGGTCCTTGATCAGATTCCTGGCAGACGCTTCATGAACGCTTCCAGATAATCCAGTTTGTCTGCCGCAAGGACTGGCTTACCACCCTACTTCACAGTTTCTGACTTTAAGGACATGACTGTTGAAGTTAATTTCTTGTGGGCTGGGAGTCTTTCTGAAATGGTGAATCCCATGATACTAAAAGCTAGGATGTGCTCTTCCCTCAAGGTCTACCACCGCACATATAAAACATATTTTGCCAGCTGTGGGGAAATAAATTTTCATCCCAGACAGTATTCTGTAGGATGAAGGACCACTAGCTTTCCATTTTCTGATTTGTGTAGGGTGTCCTACATGTGGCTCCCCTTGCACATTCACTCATTACAGATTACTCTGGGATTTTATTTTGGTTCTTTCAGCTCTTCAAAAAAACACCTTTTGAATCTACCATGGATATTTCCCTTTCCACTCTTACTTACAAGTTTACTTTTTTGCCATCAGTGAGGCTTGTGCCTGGGCTGGCTGCTTTGTAGAGAACCCTTTCTGGTCTTACACAAGGACAAGGTGGTGTGAAGGCGTAGAGTCACCTTCCTTCCTTTTTTATTTATTTTTTGGTTTTCGACCTCTCACATCAACCTCTCAGCCACTCTCGCTTTATTATCCCTTATGGTCCCTGTAAAGAGGAACCATCTTCTTCTTTTCAGTCACTTATTCAAGCTTATGATCCTAAGAATCGGGTGCCACCTGGTTTCCCATTCAAATGTTCTCTAAGTTTTACCAAGTAGATGTCTGCATTAGGTTAAAAGTCCTTCAGGCAGCTCTTTGAGCTGCAGGCAATGCCCAATTTTCAGTTGTTTTCAGACGTCCTGTTGTTTGTTTGCTGTTGGGCTAGTTTTGGACATACATATGTGTCCTTCAATAACCTAAAAAGAAAATTGGATTTTTTATAGTCACTGTAAAATCCTTATTTTGAATGTTTTATGTGTTAATTATCTTTGCTCTCAGCACTGCTTTGTTAAAAAAAACTGAAGCATGCTGGGTGTGGGAGGGGGTTATACCATGCTGGTCACTGTTTTTGAATTTGCCATAGTCCAAATCTCCTGTAGGCAGTAGTAAATTCCAGTTCTGAATTCTAAGTCGCTCAATGAACTCTAAAGGATTTTACGGGGGAGTACAAAAATCTAAAATGCATACATGTTGGGACTAGCATCATTTAGTGTGAGGGAGTGAGAATTATAGTAAGTATGGAAAAGTATCCAATATTTATATTTGGTTACCAAACAGTAATGACCACAGGAATTTCTTTCCCCAGCAATGAAAAAAATATATATAAAAAGCTTACGATGTGCTTGCTGTTCATTACAAACTTGCAGTGCTGTAATGATGTAAAGTCTAAATGCAGAGAGGGCAGGGTGAATCTCTGTATGCACTCTATACAAGTCTGCCTGATGTTTTAAGACTTGTAATTCACTATTCTGGTAATAAAGATGTTATAATAAAAATGGGCCAAGAAAGGATTTGTTAGTGGAATATTTTTATGTGTGCTTTTTTTAATTATACACAGTCCAACTATTATTTTTTTTCAGACTTTATCAGCTGAAAGTTTTGCAGATAATCAATATACATTTGATAACATCAGGATATTGAAAGGGTGTTCAGGTCTGGATGTTGGGGGTAGGTGGCTGAAAGTAACAAAACAAGCAGCAAAAAGTTTTCCCAGCACACTCAAGCCAGCATGCCAAAAAACTTGTCTCACCACTAAGGTTAAAAACAGAGGTTTAGATACACATCTTCTGCAGAAAAGGTGAAAGCCGCACAGCCGCATCAAGGCACCTCTAAATAGTGCGGTCCTAACTCTAAACTATGAGAGTCTCCAAATTGGAGCACATATGGCAAAAGATCAAATTGGGTGCAGGTTTGTTAAGGAGGAAGCCCAACCTCCCTTAAAGGCACAGGGACGCATAAGGGATCCTGTGCGGCTTTCACATTTTCTGCAGAAGACGTGTATCTAAACCTCTGTTTTTAACCTTAGCGGTGAGACAAGTTTTTTTGTATGCTGGCATGTGAGTGTGCTGGGAAAACTTTTTGCTGTTTGTACTGTATTAGGCCCTTCCATGTACACATTGATGTAACATTTGGTGAGTGCGTTTGCCATTTGTTTTGCTTGAAATTAACAAAAGACTACAACTATTCAAAATGATCACATATCTGGAACACTACCTTAGGTTTTCTGAAGCTCCCTTTTTAGAATGGATTCTTAGCTATTTTGGGAGTGATCATGTTATGTGGACAAGGATTGTTTTTTTCCTAATTCTAATACTGAGTGCTTGAAAACGTGTGTTTTACTTTGTTCACACAGTTCCTCATTAGGTCTGCTAGAACTAGTCTGGGCAGTGGTGAGTTTTGTGACATTGCTGATACTTTGTTCACAGTTCTGCAAATGTCTATAAATGTGTTCCTCATTGTGTGGATTTAACTAAATCCAGATTGAATACATTGGATAATGGTTGGATAATTCACTTGCAAATACCTGAATGTTACACGAAGCTACATATGAATGTAAATGGTCTTGATTTGTTTCTTATATTAGCTGGTGGCACAGCTGAGAAGAGAAAAAAAGAAGACATTACTAAAATGTCAGCCCACCCAAAATTAATATTTCAGTTTTTGGCATTGCAGGTGAATTCTGCTGGTTCAGATTCTTAACCATAAGAAGCCAACAGGTGACCCATTCCATAGGTTTGTCACTATGACATCATAAGTTACATAGTTAGTCAGGTTGTTAGAATACATGTCCATCAATTTAAACAAAAAGACAAAAATTATGTAATCTAAGAAAATACCTTATGTGTCAATAGAGACTTAAATGAGAGAAATCCTTCTAGTTATAAATGGTATGAGAACAAAATATATAAGTGAGATAATTAAAAGGTAAAAGTGAGATGAGCATTGAAAAGGATGAAGCGACAAGTTGAGAAAGAAAAGGCAACAAGAATTAATCAGAACCAAGGCACACATGTGTACTGTATGTGTATGTATATGCAGTGTATGTATATGCACTTTTTAATGTGTTAGATGCCATTTATTTTTACAAAAGGGTTGTTATTGTGGCCTTGTTTTACTTAAGCTAGATTTTAAAAGCCAGAAGGGTAGGATTATTTTTTATTTTTAAAGACCAGTCCCAGACAAAACCTTTTTTTTCAGTTTTAGACAGAGTGAGACAAGGATAGAACATCTGCTAGAGTTTGCAGCCTGCAGCAATCTGTGACCCTATTGGAGAGATGTCCGCTCTTTTCCTGCAGGGACAGGAAGTGATGGGAAATCTCTGCAGCCAGGGCACTACAAAACAGTTAATTATTTTTCAAAAAAATATTTTTGTCAGGTCATTATTACTGTCTGAGTCTTCCTGTCCCAGTGACAACCACCCTATTAGTTGCCTTTGAGGGATTACATTCAATTATGTAACCATTTGGGAGAAATACTGTGCAGGAAAATGTCAATAATGTTATTGTTTACAGCAGTAGATTTTCCATTTAAATATATGTGTGCTCTTTATTTAGGTTTACAATGCTGGGCCAAGTGCACTCCATGAATCTTTTGTTGAAATTGGTTTTCCTAATCGTTTTTCTTCTACTGGAGCTGAAATGTTCTTTATTCAAGATATTGTGGTAAGTTAGTCATACTTTTATCTATGTGATGAACTATCTATGCTTCATTAACTTCCTAACTCTTGCATGTGTTGTGACTGTATAGCAGGGCCACTCTGAGATAGAAAAGACAGATGTGCCCTGACTCTAAATGGTGTGACTTGACTGCAGATTTGTCCTGCAGAACCTGGTCCCTTCCATCCTACCTCCACATACCGAACCCCCGCCTTTCATTTTTGGCCTGACTGACACTTTTTAAATAAAGGGGAATAGCCTAAATTTAATAGCAGCTATGGCATGGTGGTGCATTTGTACACACTACTCTACTGCCCAAGCAGGCAGTGACTTGCTGCAGGGGATAATATACCATTTTATTTAAATGAAAGCTGCAAGAACATTCCTGTTCACATTGAGTAACCAATCATGTGCAGATGCATTTCACCAGATTGGATAATTGAAGTGAATATTCACACAGTTTATGAGAGAAAATTCTCAATTCCTTTAGTAAGTTAGCTCAATTGTTATGTCTACATGAAACGTAAACAGTGTTGCATTGCTAACTGGAAGCCAGATAGGGTTGGTGTTTAGGCATCATCAGTGTTCAGACATATTGCAGTAGGTGAGATTAAAGCCTAAATATTAAAATAGAAATGATAATTACACCACACAATGCAGAAATGGAGGTCTGACTGAACAGAATAACCAAAGATTTTGTAGGTAGACAATATCTCTTATTAAAAACATTAAGCAAAGTACTCTTTTTCTAATTTGTTGCCTCTCTTAAAGTTTCTTTAAATGGCTTTTAGTCATTCCTGTTGTTTAAGCAAGTTTCCGCTTATAGATGTATGCCAGGATTGTTGGCCATTCTTGTAAATGTACACTTTTAATTATGCCAGAGTATACTTTCCCTATCCTTCTGCTCCTCTGTGGCTCTCATAAACAGAAGCAGTAGTCTAGTTTATCAACTCCTATCTCCCCTTGCCCTGTGTGCCCAGTATTCTGTGAATAAAACCCTCAAGCACTGCCCAACAACAGGACACCTGGAGGGTGCCCCATGGCCGTTGTCGGAAAACACAGGACATTGCAGCCAATAGGCAAAGAGAGGCAGAGCCTAAGATGTGGCTGCATTGCATGGGCAACAGGACATTGGACAGCAAGGCCTGTAGTCTCAGCAGAGGAATGCTGGGAAGGTAAGTCTTTACAAATGGGCAACAACCTCATTAGTGGTACCATTTGTTATGTTACCCAGGTGAAATGGATATGTAAATATATTCCAATGACTACAATAATATTCACATAAACACCCCTAGATCTGAGGATTCTTAGACAAAAGAAGTAGTTCCATCAGCAATGCACATTTATTGGTAGGGTTACATATTTACAAATAACACACACAACACTATTTACAAGACAATGTACAAGTGTGGTGGAGCTTTACCTCTCAGCTTCTCGCCTGTTCATACTGAATGCCTTTGTGTCCCAGGTAAAAAGAGAGCACGTAGCTTGCTAACAATACCTTATATACCCTCTTTTCTGTACACTGACTACCAAATGTAAATTGGGTGTAACCTGATTGGAGGATTTAGATAAGGTTGCTGTTTACCCCCCATGTGAGATGTGATAAGCAAACAAAACAATAGCTAGGACTTCAAAGCAGACAGATTCACAGTAACACAATAAGTAACACAATTGAGGAACTGAGAGTCACATAACATGCAGATAGATGCAGTCAAATATATATATTATATTATCTAATTAATATATTACACAAGCAAAACTTTATATGGCAACAGTTACACAATAGTAATGACTAGAAACAGTTTGCCTGAAGTTTTGCTTTAAGAGATGAACATAATTTATTTCTGGTGTACATCTTCTTTCGAACTATGTAGCAAGAGAAATCTCCTAATATATAGTGTTCAGACAATATTTCAAACAGATGTCAGTAAATCTGCTGTAATATATTATGACCTGGCTGGTTAATATTCTTTATTAAACTTGCATGTGTTCTGTAAGGAATGTTTTTCAGCACACTCATCTTCCTGTATGCAATTTACCTGCTTTCATTTAAAAGGGTTTTATTGTTGCATTTGATGACTAGATTTAAAATGAAGCAAATTCAAAAGGCATAAAACTGGTAAAAAATATAGTTTTTTTGGAAGTAAAAATAGTTCTGATGAGCATCGTTGGTCTCTTTTTTTCAAGCATTATAAAGTGTCTTTGGAAAATCTCTTAACAAGGGATTAGTTATGGGAACAAAGCCAAAGTCTTAGATGCCTGAAATAAATCTTAGTATATCTTTATTCATTGAAACAGCTTGAAGTATTTAGAAGCAGACAGTTTAAAAGACCGAAAGAAAAAAGAAAGCTGAAGAAATGAGAGAACTAGTTAATACAGAGACATTAAATATATGTTAAAAATGCATTAATAATGGTCATAAAGAGTCAACTGCTTGAATGCTAATAGGCTTCTTACCTGACTCTCCTACATCATTGAAATATTTTCATGTTTTCTCTTGCTGGTACATCTTGGCCTGTCCAGAAGATATACAATGAAGGGGTAGACAAAATGGCACAGCCCATTTCAACTTGGTGTTCAGATGGTGCCTATAGAACTGAGAGGGCAGTTGGATATGTCTGTCATGGAAAGCAATAACAACCAGACAGGTTTTCCTAGCCTACTTGATCTATATTTTCTGCAAGAGACGGACATGAGTTTGTCCCCCAATTCGGATGAAAACAACATTTGCATCCATGTGTACTTTTAGACTGTTTTATGTTACATTAACATTGCAACATTATGTATTATGAGCCATTACAACTGCCATTACCTGTTATATGTAGTGATGGACAACATGGAGTTTGGTAACAGTAACAAAACAATAGAAAATAAGCTACATAGGTGATCATGGTATGAAAGTCTCTTAAAGTGAACCTGTGCAAAGTAACAGGTTCACTTTAATCCCCATTTCCCCAGCAGCATTTACTCACTACTAATTTCCTTTGCTCCCTTGGTGCTCCATTCAGCTGCCGGGAGCAAGAAAAGGCACTCTGTGCAAACTACGAGCTTACACAGAGCCATGGTTTCCCCCCCATGTGATACCAATAAAGCAAACAAAAAGGGGAATATGTGCTTTTTGGAAGGAAGAATTAAAGTATACTTTCTGCTTAGCCTTGCATAGGCATAGCACAGGCAGTGACAGTCTTCTGCTGTTCACTTCAGTGGCTTTGACAGCTGACATCTAATTCAGAGCCCAACAGAGGACATACTGTAAGTAGTGGTGGCAACCTGGTGAGCTATGAGAGCATTTGTGGGTACCACTGAGGGAATTATTCATTTGCATTTGGCCTGAAGCAGTATTAAGCCGTGACGCACTGCTTGCGAAGTCGTGCAGAGCGAAAGCAAAGCTGTCAGACACGGAGCTTCACATGCAGTGAGTGAGCTGAGTGCAGCAAGATGAAAGACTGCATCTTCAGCCAATCGGCTCGCGCATAACAACCGGATGGACTTTGCAGCGTGACGCGTGGGTTTATATGCACAAGCCGATTGGCTGAAGATAACATTTTCCATCTTGGCACATTCAGCTATGCAAGCTGATGTGCCGGAGAAAAAAATGACATGACACACCGCACGTGAAGGCAGCGTGCCACAGCTCTGCGCTGCTTCATGTACAGTGTGTCACAGACTTCAGGAGGGATGAACAGCAGCAGTGAGCAGCAGCATGCCATTTCTATTGAGATAATAGAGTAATGTCTCACTATGCTCTGCATTCCCTACTCTGCATTGCCTGATTTTGTATGCCACAAATTGTACATTTCCCTTTTCGCACTGGCACGCCTTGTTGTACTTGTTATATTCCGCATGACCTAATTTGGTATGCTAAGCTGTACAATCATTACTCTGCACCATCTCAATCTGTATGTTGTGTTATACATTTCCTATTTTAAACTGCCAAATTATGTATGCTGTACTGTACATTTAATATCCCACGATGACTCTTTCTGTGCACTGTGCTGTACATTTTATATTCCTACCCACCTCTTTCTTTGTGCTGTGCTATACATTTTCTATTCCATGGTGACCCATTCTGTAAGCTGTGCTGCACAATTTGTATTCCACAAGATGCCATTCTGTATGTGGTTTAATACATTCCCACTGTGCTGTAAATTCCCCATTGCTTTTTGTCACATTCACTATTCTGTGCTGTTCATTCTCTATTCCACACTGCTTCATTCTGCATGATGTGCAGTTCATTTTTTTATTCTTCAATGTCTCATTCTTTACACTGTGCTGTACATCCCCTATTCAACACATATTCATGCTGCATGCTGTGTTGTACAATGTTCGCTCCAGGCAAAACATGGTGTTGTACCCAAGTCCCACAGTGGGACATTAAAAATACTCTCTCTTGCATTGGTATCTTTAGGGCCAATAAAACCAATTAAACTTTATTTCTTAGTGCCACTGACACCAATGCAAGAGCAATTGTTCATACAAATAAAAAGGCCCGCTCCCCTAAAGTGATTTTGTTTCTAGCTTCTCATGATGACTCTAAGACCACCCTGTAAAAGATTAAGATGAATACCTTTCTGTCAGGCCTAAAACTTTGCTATAGTGTAGATCTCTTGCCACTGCTGCTGGTATCTGACAGGTATTTCCATTACCTGTTCCACCTATATGCACTGTGGTTTCTCCTGCTAGAGTACACAGTATTGGAAGTTGGTAGGAGAAACCAGTGTGCAGAGAGGAACCAGGTATTGGGCACACCCCGAGGTGTTGGATGCCATCATCGGCAAGAGATCTGCAATACAGTTAAGTTTTATGTTACTGCCTGCAAGAAAGTTATTAATCTTTTTTTCCCCCTGGCTGGTCTAAGTGTCATTATGTTCAGTTGGTACACGGTCACTTTAAAGGATAAGTATACTTTTAATTAATGTACACTTTTTCTTTAGCCCCTCAGATCTACCCTTCCCCTCCACAGATCTGTATTTATCTCAGTATCCCCACCACATCCTCTTCAATACTTGATCACCTGCCATGGTAATTAGGGTGTTGTACAATGGGATTTTTATTTCTGTTGGCACAGGTTTGCTGTTTAATAATTAGTGATCCAGACATCAAAGAAAACCTATGCAGAAGCACATGAAAGTTAGGGTCCTGTCCTAGCAAACGTACAGGCTAAAAGTTCAGAGAACAATATGTAGTATAGGTATAGCAACTGAATAGAAAACATATTCTTTAAAAGCTAAAACAGATTTGTCTGCTTTTTTTATTTTATACTGATATTTTATTTTTCTAATTGGAGGCACAATGCAAAAGATCATGCTGCAAAGAGTTTTCTTTTAGAATTTTCCATAAAGCCAAGGCTGTTTGTACATCTGCTTTTCTTGGCTTAATTCTATTCCACTTCAACAAGAACCCCTATTTTTAATTGTAGATGCATTGACAAAAAGTCAAAGTGCGTGCTGGTATGCACTAAGTACACACACTAATTTGGCTATATTACATATTACTATGTGGTGTCACATGTCTTCAATTAACCTTTTTTGCTGTGTAAGACTACTTTAAAGAAAATAGCAAACCACAATTTTACATCTAGTTTCTTAGGGGATACTGCAGGAGGATTTACAGAACTGTTTAGACACAGCCACCATTAAAAACCACAACTGCCAGGTCATCTAACCAAAGGCACGTCTTTGAATTTAGAGAATATTATTTTCATGTGGCAAGGCTAATTTGTCGGGCAAGTTCTGTAAAAAAAGGATCACGGTAGGCTGAACAGTAGGCTATTTATTGTTTTCCTTTGCCATGGATTGGTATCACACTGAAGGTTGGTTACAGACAATTCATTTACAGAAGTTCTGACTTATAGAACAGTTCTACAAATTGGGGCTCATTTACTAAAGCAGTAGAGGCTCCTCAGCAAAGTGAATACTAGTAAACAAGGTGAGCCTGTTTTCACTTTGAGTATCCCATCTTGTGCAAGGTAAGTTATAAAAATAGGATTTTTACTAGTACATGATTGGTTGAATGAAGTAAGCATTTTATTCACTAAGATCAGTGAACATTCACTTTATAAAGTGAACATTCACACAGCAGGGGAGCTGTTTGGGTGTTTGCTATGATTGTTTTATTTAAAGCATAGCTAAACCTAAGAACAAAAATGTAACATATTGCCTGCAGCTTACCAGTCCATAGATGTGGATACTGCATTAGTTAAATTTTTTTATAACATTTTTAGCAAATATGGAAAATACCTGTTGATCTTGCCAGAAATACAATGTCCTTGTAACTTCCTGAGAGGTGAAAAGGAAACACAAACATCCTAATCTTTCTTGTGTAAACTACGAGTCCCATCAATCCACCATGTAATGGAGATTAGCAAAGGTAATTAACTATTTTTCAATTTCTAATGGCCGACCAATAGAAATTGGCAACTAGTTCACTATTGCTGTCTCTGTTCTCAATGATGCAAAAAATGTCCTGCCGCTGGCCGATATGATTTAAGCTTTGATTTAGAATTCATTCCCCATAAATAACACAGTAGTGTTAAACTGGTCAGCAAGGGGACAATTTGAAATAGCATGGCTAGGCTTAAATTTACTGGCAAGAAAGAGCGCAGGTTAGTGCTTTACTACAAGAATGAGATACTGCAGAGGATACAGCAGTCTAAATTTGGCCAGTGGCAGGGCGTTTTTAATAAGGCATAATAAGCCAATATGTACTAGAGCCAAAGTGTCCAAGCAGTTGTTTTAATACAAGATTTAAGAGAATGCATATAATACAGTAGTGTAAGGGCACAGGCTGGGGTTTTACTACAAGAGCTAAGATTCTGCGGAGGATACAGCAGTGTAAAATTGGCCAGCAACAATACAGTTTTAAGTGGGGATAGTAGGCCTAACTGGTGTATGCCTAGCTTTTTTTAATCTATGTGGATAGGTGGGTGTGGTAAATGTGAGTGACATTATGATAGGTGGTGTAGGTGCACACTGTTCTTGCACATTTATTTGCAGAAGCAGAGTGCTGCAAAAAAAAGAACATATGATTCCTAGCAAGTAAATGCTCTCCTTTGAGCACCCCAAAAAAACACCCTATCAACATAGAATAAAAATAAGAACCCACAATATGAGAATCCCACTTTTTTTTAAAGGGAAACCTTGCAGCAAAAAAAGTTTAACCTAAAAAAAGACCCTTTCAACATAAAATTAAAATATATATACCCCAAAATACAAACCTTAAAATACCAAGCCCAGACATCAAAACCCCCTTTTTTAAGGGCAAAAAAAGAAAAAGTTTGCTATGAAAGGGACAGCAGCTAAAGTGATTGCTGACCTCAAATCAGCCACAAAATAAAATGAAAGACAAAAAAGTCCCTCAAGAATAAGAACACAAAAAAGAGAAGAATGCAGCAAAGGGGGTAATTGCCCTAAGAGCTAGCTATTAGAATTAAAGTACAGTTTCCTAACTAACCTAACTGACACTTATCGTTCCCTATGCAGTTTGTCAGCTGTCCCTATGCTTTCCAGCAACAGCCTCCAATGTACTGATCCTATGGCTGCTCTGTGCCCCCCACCAAACCAGCAGCTGGTTTTGGCTTGTTTTGTTAGCAAACCAGGGGATCTGTCATTTAGGTTGGCAGCATTCTCGCTTTTAAATGACAGATCTCCGCTGGCTTTTTTTTAATAAACAAAAAAACAGGCAGGGATCCTGGGTGACATCATTCTTATTCAGTGAAGTCACCCGTGATCCCTGCCCAGGGCAGGAGCGTTGTGGCAGCGGGTCTACATTATAGATTGTTGCGTATAATTATTGACATCTACATTGCTAAATGGTGTGACTGTTTTTAGATTAATGTAGAATAGGGAAAGCCAGATATCTGGAGGCCCCTTATTCTATAGGAGATTTCCAGATATTGATAAGTCACCCACGCAGACCCTGACATCCCTTTTGGCAACAGAATGTGGGGAGAAGGACCTTGCCCCCAAGATGAAAAGGTATCATGCAAGGGGGAAAGCTTGTTTGCCTCCCCTGCAAAATACCCTCCAAATATTAAGGGCATGTGGCCTGGTATACTTTGGGTTTGTACTCTCTCTTCCCCTCCTTTTCTGGCTAGCCAGGTTGCAGGCCTGGATAAAGGTATTTGATGAACTTTTATGGGAACCCCTTATCTTCAATGTGCATTTCTCCTGTAGACAGCAGTATAACCAAAATGTTTTGGATTTCCTGTATCCCTTAATATACTCTATAATGAGTACAAAAAGTTTTTTGTTTTTAAAAAAAAATAAAGCTGAGAAACACTGCTCTAGCATGTTACAAAGTTCACTTGTTTTCATGAATTACTTTGATTAATGTGATGAATGTAAATTTCAGTTTTGTCTTTTTAACTTTTATTTTGTTTAGATTGGTCAAGAAAAATCACAGTGTACATTCAAGAAAAATCCAGCACCATGTGTGATCCCACAAGAGAAAGAGAACATTTTTCACACTATATTTGCCTTCTTTACAAAGTCAGGTCGTAAGGTGTTGGTAAGTCATTTTTTATTTAATAATTTTGAATGATTAATAATGAAACTATAATTATTTTCTGCTGGTAATATAAATATAATTTTGTGAAATGCTAATCATTTTCATTACTTGTTCCCCAAGAGCATAAAACATGTAAAATGAGGTGTAAAATAGACCACATAACAATAGTAATCACATAACAATAGTCATCACATTTATAAAAGCCAGAAAAGAGATGTCATATTGTATAAGAGTATAAGAATGTAATGAACAGATCTGCCATGCCAAGTTTTTATTCACAGATTTTCTGAACGTGTAGTTAGAGATGAGCACTTAGATTGTGCAAACTGTGATTCAACCTGCATTTTATCATTATAGTTAATAGATATGTTTGCAGTGTGTGAAAAATAAAAAGGTAACACTATCCAATTTTGGTTGATGTTTGCCATGCCGCCCTTCCATTATTCCCTGTGCTCTCCTGCCCCTTACTACAAGCAATTAGAAGCAGGTTTATGTCATGAGGCAAAAAATAAAGTTTTACAGTTTATAGTTATGGAAAGAGCAAACTGAAAAGTGTGCATATTTGCTTGGAACTGTTTGGAGTTTTCACCTTGACATCCTGAGTGCCCCCTTCTGTCCTGAAGTTTACTCGTTAACAATTCAGGCCTTAGCAGCAGAGGTGATATTTTTACATAGCAAATTGAACTACAATGAAATCCAAAGTGATGAAAAATTTGTATCTCATGGTCAACAAAAAGGTCCTATTTGAGGAATGCAACAGATCAGGCTGAATTGGGTTTTCTTAGAAAGTAGTAAGAAAATATGCATAGCGTCCGAATTGATGGACAGTTTCTGTGTAATAGGCACCGTTTGTTTTATATTGTTAAAAAAGGAACAAAGGTGTTAATTCTATGTGCATTGCTTGTATTTGTCAAAAGGGACAAACTATATATTCAGGTTCAAAGATGGGCAGCTATCTCAACAGCCAGCCTTCTCATAGAGAGAAATGCCTCTTTACAGATGCCCTTAACTGTAGTGAGAGAGAACACTGAATTCTTATGAGCTGACTACTCCTGCATGCCATATAATTTTACAGCACCAGTCTGCCCAGTCTAAGCTCATTAAAGGTGGCCATACACTAGTAGATTTTCAAAAGAACTTTCGTACGAAAGATCTTTCTGTCAACTTTCTATTATTTGATGAGGTCAAATTGATAATCAATTTCGAGCAAAGTGCCGAAAAAAGTCAAAGGAGCAGGATGGAAAATGTTTCTCAAACGGACAAAATTCTAACAGCGAATGTGGTTTTCGTTTGGGAAACTCCATTCATTCCAAAATGGAATGATAAAAGAAATTTCGTTAGACATTCGCCAAGTGTCTGATGGCATTATCGGGGGGTAAATAAAGATCTTTCGTTGGTAAGGAAAGTTCTTTCATTCAAATATGTCCAATTATGAACACTACAGGAATGTATGAAATCATTGTAAAGCAATTTATAAGCTACTGTGACCAGTGGCCAAGATCGGTATAAAGATACTGCAAATGAGCTGCAAGTCTAACTCCCAAGTGGACCCAGGGAACAATGTCCCTCTTTACCTGTTTGAACAAGATGTCTGCATGTCTATATATATATAGTTACAGTTTTCATCAGAAGAGGAAGAGTTGTTTTATACTAGAATTTCACTTCCACTTTAATACATACGAACATTTTCTCTGCATGATCCTTTCACTTGTTAAATAAGCACTTTTCAGTAATAAAGGGAAACATACATTAGAAATGTTATAAATCAGTCAACAAAATTCACATCACACAGGAAACAAAGGTAGTAAAATGTGTTATTGTTTGCCTGTTTTAGAAAAAGAAGGGAAATCCTACTTTTCCCACTGTCGTCTAAGTGTTGAAATAGGAATAATGCCTCAGAATGCCGGCATATAAATGAGAAATGAGCACAAACTATGCCAGGGAAAACCTTTAGTGAATCAAATAAATCACTTGCCACAACTAAGTGACTAAACTGGAAATTGTACACTCCTGACTCTAGCATAAAGTGTAAAGTCAGATTTGGGTATTGGCAAAGAAAAATGAATAAACATTTAGCTTAGGTTTCAGATATAATCATTGTGCTAATACTTATTAAGTGCATTTGCGTGGGCAGATCCATGATGAATGTTGATAAACTATTGTAGACCAGTCCTATTTGTTACTTTTGCTGTAATCTAGAGTCTTTTGTTGCTTTTTTGTGCAATGTTGCACCGTTTTAAACAGCAGAAATTGCCGTCGGCTTCTCAGGCTCCGCTCTCCCCCGTAGGAGTCTGGGAGCGCCATGGTGGGTCTCCCCTAATGGATTGGAGGGGGATCAGCAGGCTTCCAGGTGTTGATCCCTCCTCTGATCACTGGACCCGGAAGTTATGTGCATTACATCACTTCCGGTGTCACTGAGCACATTATCCAGCTCCTAGAGCCAGAAGAAGAAGCTGGTGAAGCAGATCTCTGCTTCATTAGCTTCTTTGGGGTCCCTAGGTGACATTAGGGGTGTGAAAGACCTCTTTCACCTGTGCGAAAGCAATAGAGATGAGTGTAAAGAATTTTTTTTAAAAAAAATTAACCACCTGTTGTCTGGTCGTTGTAAAAACGGCCGGACAGCGGCTTCTTGAATAATATATACGGTCCCTCCAACACTAACCGGAATTGTTAGAGGCTCCTTGTGCCAACTTGACCCTGAAGCTCCCCCTCTGCGGCTCTGACATCACCTGTGCATCAGACAGCAGCCGGGAAAGTCTCTTGCGATCTACATAGGCAAATCATGTGAGGCTTCCCTGGCTGCTTCCCAGAGCACAGGTAACATCAGGGCCTGGGATGAAGAAATAAAGGGTCTGGTTGGAGCAACAAAACTTATACACTTCCAGGAAGTGTTTGAGGAACGGCATGAAAATGAGCCCTGTAGCTTTAGGGAAAGGCAGCCATAGCTTTTGCATTTTAAGTGTGAGGCTAAAGTCTGCACAATGACAGGTGTTATTGCGCCAAGTTCTGTTCACAGAAGAAACATACTTAGCAAATTCCCTTGCTACAGGCTTCCATGCTAAGCAGATTACAGGCCCTTGCTGTTTTCTCTCTCTTCATGCTTACTCTCCTTAACAATATAAGTGCAGCATCTTGATAAAGATATTTAAAATATTATAACAGAAAAAAAACACCTATTTTAATTGAAAATCAGTTTTTTTTGGACATGCCCCAGATGTAGTAATAGATAATGATTTAACTTATTTTGTACAATAATTTAACAAGGAAACAGAGCAGGGCAGTATAGGGATGTATAACTGTCTTTATGAAATGTTATTGGAATATATATTTACATGAAAAAGGAACTTTGATGTTGTCAAGGTACAATTTTATTTTCTATAACAAAGAGGACCCAGAGCCATGTATAATTAAAACATGCTAATGTTTATTTTAAGATAATTTAAAAAAGCTCCCTAGAGGTGGGAAATCCATAATAAAATACCAAAAACAGATCAAACCTTTTTCAACCTCTTTTTACAGTATTATCTTTTGTGATTTGTAAAACCACTGCTAGACCTCAAGGTTCCTGCTTGTGATTTTTGCTGTCATTCACTGAACTGTAGATGGTAGTAATACATTGACCAGCAAACTAAAACAACACATACTACTGTCTGGAAATGCTCTGGCTGGAAGCAGGGGCATAACTACAAATCTCAGGACCCCATAGCAATATTTTATAGGGCTACCTCACCAAGCAGAAAGGAAGAACATGCCAATACCCTAATTACCACACTCATATGATGCAGGCCCTAACCTATAGGTTTATACATTTCTGCTAAAACAAATGTTGTTTTTAATGACCCCTCCTTACACTAGTGTCCAGTAGGATGAAAGGAAGAATGGAAGAATGGAGGAAGAATGCTTCTTTACAGTATGTTGGTGCTCAGTATCAGCAAGACTGCACCCTTCTGCTGGTGGTCAGTAAGAGGAAGAATACCCCCTTATATTGGTAGTCAGTAGGATCAAGAATGCCCCCTAATGTTGGTGGCCAGGAGGAGGTAGAATGGCCCCTTACCTTGGTAGTCAATAGGTAGAAAAATGCAGCCTTACACTGGTGTTCAGTAGGATATAAAATGTCCCTTTATGTTGGTGGTCTGTAGGAAAAAGAAAGCCCCCTTATGTTGGTGGCAAATAGTAAGGTAGACTGTCCCCTTACTTTTGTAGTCATTAGGATTAAGAATGTCTCCTTATGTTGGTGCTGAGTACGAGGAAGAATGTCCCCTTATATAGGTGGTCAGTAGAAGGATACATGCCCCCTTACGTTAGTGGTGGTCAGTAGGAGGAAAAATGCCCTCTTACATTAGTAGTCAGTAGGAAGAAGAATGTCCCCTTACATTGGTAGCAGTAGGAGGAAGAATGTCCCTTACTGTGGTAGCCAATAGTGTTGGCTGAAAAATGCCCCATATATTAGTGGTCAATAGCAGGAAGGATGCCTTCTTACATTTGTGATCAGTAGAAGGAAGAATGCCAAGTACATTGATGGTCAGTAGGTAGAAGAATGTCTACATACATTCTAGTCATGGTGGTAAAATACATTTTTATTTTCACCGCTCACCAACGTAAGGGGGAATTTTTTCTCCCACCGATTACAATGCAATTACCAATTACCAATGTGGGCTTTCTTCAGCCCACTGACCACAAATGTAGGGTAGTATTCAACTTCCCACTGACTACCAATTTAAAGAGGTTGGTGGAACCACCCCCTTATGCATTGGTAGTCTCACTAGTAGCATTACTATCAGTGGGAATCACACTTACACCCTTTCGTGCACAGGTGTAAATCAGACTAAGAAAGATAGTTGTCTGCAAAGCTGCAGTCATCACCAACACACACATGCCAAGGCTAATATCTCTTTAGTAATCAGTAAGTAAATACTCATTGGCTGGATTAGTGACAAGTTCTATTCTGCATTGTTTCATTTGGTGACTCAGCGGCGGGGAGCAATGGGTGGAGACAGGTAAGTATTTAATCTAATCTGCATAGTGATCCTATTCATGCTTCTCTTCCAAAATACATTAGATATCTAAGAGAGCTTATCTTATCTCTATGTAGGCTGTTAATAGTTTATGTTGCTGAAGTATAAATAACTTTTTATATCGTTTTGTCTGCCAAAAAGCATTCTGGCGTAGGAGTTGTGTCTGTAGAGCATAATATTATTGTATGTGAAATAATGTATATCCCTAAGTGTTAACGATGTGACCAAACCTCTAAGTGTACTGTAGATTTGTTTGTGCCATGAATTAAAAGCATTATACAGTATATGGATCTTTAACAAACACGTTTTAATACATATTTTATTATATTTAATAAATCTGTCTGGAATGTTGCCTTGTAGTTCACTGATTGCATTCTGAAGAGAGCCCACGGTGATGATAATAAATCCACGTTATTATTCATTTAAATTAGTCATGTACACAAGTAAAATCAAGTGTAAAAAGTCAAGAAGATAGACTTAAACAACTCAATAGGGATGATGGCATGGGATGGGATAGTAATAATGGGATGATGGCAATTAACATAGTCCTCTAGCTAACAAATGTAATGGTGGGATTTGTGCAACCATGTGCTATTATTACTAACTGTGACTTAGAGTGGAACTTGGTGGGCTGCATTTGCACAGCATACTTGCACATTATTGCACACTTAGATCTGGGTAAGCTCTCTTCCGGTGATTGGCAATGTATCCTTTTGTTATGTTAGTTTACATTTGTCGATGATTTAAAAAGTTTGCAGGGCAAATATTTTTAAATACTATTTAAAGAGAATATACACTGTGTCTTTGCAATCATCTTTCACTGTTCTAACTGTTCAGAACCAATAAAAAATAAATCTGTTTTCTAGTGTGACAAGGAAAATCCAAATCAAGATGTCAGCTAGTCTAATATTGTAAATTTTTTCTACTAATTGCACAAGGCCATACACGATGCTTTAAAATGGTAAAACTAGGAATCCTGTGTGTCAGTGTTTTTCCAGTTTACATCCCTAAGGCCCACAGGGGAAGGTCCACACATTTACAGAAAAATAAGTGACTTTGTTTTTATTAATAACAAATTATGTAGCACTACACAAAGACATAGCGATGAAAAAATAAGTTGTTCCCACAGTTACTACAACTACCTTATTTGTTAAACTGTGGAATAACTTGAATTGTCATGATGTAGCCCATATTCATTTAAAACAGCTGGTTAGCGCTATTTTTACAATTCTCCTACAGATCACACTTGTGCGCCTGCATATTCATGCAATTTGTAGACATATTTGTAATGTGTTTTTACACACAATGTGTGTTTTTGAAGCATTGTAATGCATTTTTCATGCTTTTCATGTGCTTTTGTTTTGGTCGATGACAAGCAATTGACACAAGTGACCCTACAACAAAAATGTTGTAGGGTACAACAGAAGGGTAATTTCTACAAGCGTACAATAGCAAATCAAACTGAAATTATGTGTTAAATTAAGAAATTAGCTTACCTCACCGGCCGTCTTAGTTCTTCCACATCAAGCATGGTGTAGCCTGCTCGCTGCTCGCTCCACTTTCCTTTACAGACCGGCTAGAGTAGATATTGCTAAGAGGAGAAGACTGGTTTTTGAAAGCAAAAATACACATGCAACATGTAGGTGTGAACAGGCTCAAAATAATCGCAGTCTCCTTGTGCATTGTTGTGAGATCGCCACTGCACTTCACCTCTCACTTCAGTAGACTAGGCCCATAGTGTTGGCATGTAACATCTAAAAAAAACACTGCATTTATAAGCAGTTTTAAGGCATATCCTATATACAGCATTTGTTTCAGTACCCAGGAGTGATATCAACAGAGATTAGGCAAATATATGACTTTGGAAATTTTAGGTTCTCCAGTCTCTCAGCAGAAAGTATGCCTACTTGGTGTTAAAATATGTTTTTAATAACTGAAAACCTTAAAAATAATCAAATATGTGTCAATTATAAACCACCAGAAGCTTTTGCTTTACTATAATCCATACCTTGTTTGTCTTAGCAGAAAATTCTTGTTTATACTAATTATTAAACTGTGTTTTGTCTCTTAGGATTGTCAGAAATCTGCATATCCATGCTTGGACATAGAATGTAAACTAATGCCATTGGCTAAAGATGAGACTCGAAACATTGATATTCTTATGCTGCTAAATACAGAAATATTAAAAAAGGTAAGACACAGGGGACTAGACCTGTGTTTGACACACATTCATCTTCATTAAGACACCTTGTAAAGATGGAGACAAGTTTTGCCCTTCACTAATAGAAATAATGGCCAGTGCAAACCCTACTCCCTACTCAAAGCACCAGTGCTAGAATCTAAAGAGTGTTTAGTAGTCCTGATGCTCTTACTATATTTCTTTCACTATATGAGATATGTTACAATGATATTTAGATTTTTCTTATGTATTAATGTATGCTGTGTATTAATATATGCTGTGAAGAAATCACAGAAAACTTCCATACCCAAAATTGGCCATACATGATGCTTAAAAAGTATGTTACCGCTCATCAGTTTAGTGTTATCAGTGATTGATGGCCCTAGACTTATTGCTCGCACTCCAACGTTCGCAGCGATATGTAACATCTGCGGTGCAATTGGTGCAATCGTCATTTTTGTACGTAGGCACACTCAACGCATTTTTGCATGTGTATGTGGGGCAGGGGACTTTAAACATTTTTTTCAATTGCTTTTATATGTGACTTTTAAATTATTATTTTTTTTGTAACTTTTATTTTTTTAAACCTTTTTTTCCCACTTAACTTTATTGCTATCACATAGGGGGGGTAACAAGCCCCCTATGTGATAGCCAATTTGCAGTGATGGGTCTTCTTTATGGAGACATCAGGGATCTTTAAGACCCCTGATGCCACCTAGGGACCCCCAGAGAAGCTGATGAAGCAGAGATCTGCTTCACCAGCTTCTCTCCGCGTTCTGTACCGGAGAGTGACAGAGGAATGCGGAAGTGATGTAAAATACATCACTTCCTGCATTCCAACGAGAAGGAGGAGATCAAATGGAGATCAAGGAAACTTTAGGCTCAATTCACTACACTTGCTGTGTTATTACCATAATCATCGTTATTTTCAGCTATGTGACTGTTATTTTAAGCTCTCAGTGGCTTTTCCTGTTGAAAATACTAGTAATTATAGCAACAGTCAATCTATTGTTATAGTTTGACCCAGCTATAAAGAATACATATGTTTAAGGCAATATAAGGATATACGGTATGAGTGCACAAGGGAGTACTTCAGACTGTTTATTTCTCCTTGAAAATGTCATATTATATGTTCCACAGGACAGTTCCTCAGTAATCCAGTTTGTAACAAGAGCCACAGTAAAACTAGAACCTGATTCAAGGTTGCAGACAATAGAAGTACCACACGGAAACCCGCAAGATTCAACGGTAAGTTTTTTTGTTAAATATGTCAATTATGAAAGAATTCTAAAAATATAACTGAACCTTACTGATCTATTGGATGAGGCTCTTGGTAAGGCAGCTTATAAGTTTCTGCTACTTATGAACAATCACTACATTGTGACTACAGGGGGCTTCTGAATAATCAAAACTGTTCTTCATGTATGGTCACCCGTAGAAACAAATTGTTACTCTAAAACCTCATCCGTGAACGAATTTCCTTGCTTCCAATCTATGGATAGCAATAAGCATATCTTTAAAAAAATCATGTCAACTTAATCCTCAATGCGGTGAGGGATCAAACAAACATTATTCCAACCCCAAATCCAAAAAAGTTGGGGCACTGTATACAATCTACATAAAAACATAATGCAATGATTTGCAAATCTTATAAACCCATATTTTATTGAAAATAGAAAATATATCAAATGTTTAAACAGAGAAAATGTACCATTTTAAGAAATAGAGTTATTGTAAAATTGATGGCAGCAACACATCACAAAAAAGTTGGAACAGGGGCCATGTTACCACGGCGTAGCCTCCCCTCTTCTTTTAACAACACTGTAAACATCTGGGAACTGAGGAGACCTTTTGCTGGAGAGGAATGTTGTCCCATTTTTGACGGATATAGGATGTGAACTGCTCAACAGTCCTGGGTCTTCTTTGTCATGTTTTTTGTTTCAAGATGTGCAAAGTATTTTCAATTGGTGAAAGGTCTGGATGGCAGGCAGGCCAGTTAAGCACCCGGACTCTTCAACTACGAAACCATGCATCTAATGTGGTTTAGCATTGTCCTGCTGAAATGTTTAAGGTCTTCCCTGAAAAAGACACTGTCTGGATAGAAGCATATGCTGCTCTAAAATCTGGATATATCTTTCAGCATTGATGGTGCCTTTCCAGATGTGCAAGCTGCCCATTTCATACGCACTAATGAACCGCCATACCATCAGAGATGCAGGTTTTTGAACTGAGTGCTGATAACAAGCTGGAAGGTCCCTTTCCTGTTGAGTCTGGAGGATGCGCCACCTATGGTGGCCAAAAAGAATATCAAATTTCAATTCATTTGACCACAGAACAGTTTTCCACTTTGCGACAGATTTAAAATGAGCTTTGGCCCAGAAAAGATGGTGGTGTTTCTGGATCATGTTCAGATATGGCTTCTTCTTTGAATGATAGAGCTTTAACTTTTTTGGATGGCACGGCGAACTGTGTCAAGCCAGTGATTTTTGGAAGTATTTCTGAGCCCATTTAGTGTTGTCTTTTACAGAAACTGTCTGTTTTTAATGGAGTGCTGTCTGGGGGCCCCGAGATCATGGGCATTCAATATTGCGTTTCAGCCTTGTCCCTTGTGCATGGAGATTTCTCCAGATTCTCTGAGTATGTTGATGATATTATGTACTGTAGATGATGATATATTTAAAGTCTTTGCAATTTTACATTAAGAAACTTTTTTCTGAAATTGTTCGACAATTTTTAGATGTAAATTGGTGAACCTCTGCACATCTTTACTTCTAACACAGTCTGATGCTCTTTTTATACCCAATTATGTTACTGACCTGTTGCCAATTCAATTAGTTGCAAAATGTTCTCCCAGCTCGTCCTTGTTAGTAGCAGTTACTTTGCCAGCTTTTTGTGGCCCTGTCCCAACTTTTTTGAGACATGTTGCTGCCATCAATTTTAAAGTTACCTTATTTTTTCCCCCTAAAATGGTAAATTTTCTCAGTTTAAACATTGGATATGTTTTCTATTTTCTATTGTGAATAAAATATGGGTTTATGAGATTTGCAAATCTTTGCATTCTGTTTTTATGTTGATTTTACACAGTGTCCCAACTTTTTCGGAATTGGGGTTGTATATTGGTGCTGCTAAATATTTGATATGATATAGACGGTAACTAGTAATGAATGCTTTGCCAGACCTGGGATCATGTTGATATGCTGCAAGAACATTTTCAATGGATTGCCCTGTCATATTTATTCACTTGTTTGTGAACTGGCTACTGAGGTTCTCCATGTTAATTAGTGAGAAGATCAAAAGGACCCCTATACCAGTTCTAGTTTTTGTACCTTTTGCCCCAGCCAGAATGAAATAACGCACCTATTTTAACTTATTCCCAATAAGATCTTTTTAAGGAGCTTTTATGTGATAGCAGTGCTGGGGCAAGTAATACAGTGGTCACAGCTCTGGCATATTATGTAATTAATCTTGTTACCTTAACCAGTTGACATCCGCGGTGTTAAACCCCCTTCCCATCCAGGCCATTTTTCAGTATTCAGCGCTGTGGTACTTTGACTGACATTTATTCTGTCATGCAAAGCTGTACTGAAATTAATTTTATACAATTTTTTGGGGATAGAGCTTTCTTTTGGTGGTATTTATTCACCATTGGGGTTTTTATTTTTTACTATATTAAGGATAAATTACCGAAATTTTGTTAAAAAAAACTGTTTCCCCTATATTAAATGATAAAACATTTATTATTACCCAAATTTTTTGGTAAAATATAAAAGACGGGGTCACGTCGGGTAAAAAGACACCAAACATGTCAAGCCTTAAAATTGCGTGCGCGAAACCTCAAAAAACTATAATACCCAAAATTGGCCACAGGCGACGCTTTAAAAGCTTTTACCGCTCATCAGTTTAGTGTTATCAGTGATTGATGGCCCTAAAATTATTCCTCTCACTGCGACGTTTGCGGCGATGTGCAACGTGTGTAGCGCAATTGTTGTTTTCGCACGCTGATGCATCGGACGCATATTTACGTTTATCCTTACCATCTTGTCTTGAATTGTATTGTGATTGAAATGTCTGCCCTACATTGTAAAGCGCTGCGCAAACTTTTGGCGCTATATAAATCCTGTATAATAATAATAAAGGGGTCTTTGGACCGAAAAAACGAGCACATATAGACGATCGGCAGGCTATAGAGCCGCCGACCGTCTATATGTGAAACACCCGGTAACGGGTGTTTGCACTGCATGGATCTTTTCTGCCAGGGCGCACCCGCGAGCAGAAATAAAATGCCGTCTGGAGACGGCAACCCGCCAATGCAGCAGTGCCATCCATCCGTTTCTTTTACAACGGGCGGACGGCAACTGGTTAAGAAGTACTCCAGGGAATTTTTTCTTAACCCCTGCAGTGGGGCTACCCACCCAACCCACGGGTTAAGTGCTCGTTTTGGCCTAGGGAGGACAATAACAAAGTTATACTCACCTGATCCTTGGAGCCAACTTGCTGTTAGACCTGTCCCAGGAGCCTCTTCCCACCTACCCTGCAGTGATATAATGTCTGAGTCATCAAATCTTATACATTGTGTATAGGATGTGAGGACACCCTGAAGGGGTTCCATCGCTGCAACGGAGGAGAAGACAGGTATATCTCTGTTAGAGGATCGCATGAGTATATCTCTGTTTTTTTCCTCACTAGACCAAAACGAGCACTTAACCCTTGAAGTGTGAGGGCAGCAAGTGTTAAGATTAATCCCCAGATTTCTGCTTTAACTAATAAACATTATACAGACAGACTAAAACTGAATCCAAGTAAATAAGGTTATCCCCATCTTGAGATAGTACCAAATAATTTCTCACAACACTTCATTAATTAAGTCTACAGTTTAGATTAGAAAAATTAAAAAGTTAAATAGGAATATGTCCTCTAGTAGTGATACCTCATACCGATAAGAAAGAGTTAATTTTGTAATCACCAGCCCAGTCCTTCTGCAGCACACAGTATTAATGCAGGTTATTGAATGCAACCACAAGAACAAATGCGGCTCTGGATTGACTTTTCACTTGGCAAGGGATCTAGCAGTTACATTTTTGTAATGGCTCCTTTCTGCTTACCACCCCCTCAGCAATGAGAAACTAAAATATGTTTTTGTAAGAAAAGGTCAACATTATTATACGTTTTCCCTTGACACTGTATTTGGCACGCTCCTCCATGTTTTTGGCACAGGTAGCCTGAAGGAGCACACAAAACAGTTACTTTACTATAAATTGAGTTTTCTTTTCATAAGTAAAATCTGTATAGTTTAGAAAAACTGCAGCTTATTGTTTTATGGAACGCACCAAGGATTGTGTTTTAATGAGAGTTTAAAAACAATGTATGCCTAAAAAAACTATTCACAGCAACCTGCCCTAATTGTGCTTCAGCTTCAGATTCTTGCCAGGTAAAATGTTTTCACTATGAAAAATGTACATATAAATTAGAATTAGAAGATTAGATATATGGTCTAAAATTAAACAGGATACAAAGCCAGTGTCCACACTATATGAGACTATTTTAGAAGAGTAAATTCCTTTATGTATCCTGAACTGAATTTTGAGAGATAGTTCCTAGCGACAAGAAGGTTCCAGCTTTTATTTTGTAAAGTTTATTGAGAGAAGGAAGGTATGTTGTAATAATTCTAATAATTTTCTTTTTAACCAGGTAAATGTGCATATTTAAGTATTTCATATCTTTCAGCAGATTTCAAGCCTATTGTTTACAGAGGCGAGTAATTCATTTCCGATTGCTCATGTAGCTGAATGAGTCAGACGATTGACTCATCACTCTTCCCCCCTTTCTCTTACTTGTTCTAGTCACACTGGATTGGAGGAGATTCAAATAGAGAATAGCAGCCATGAAGGCTGCTGCTGTGCTCTTCTTTAGAAAACCCAGGATGCTCTGCCAAATCAGAGCAGTCAGAGAGAGTATCATGCATTAACTTTGTATTTCTGAAAGATTTTATTGATAATAAAAATTGATATAAAACACCAGCTTAAAAATTTTAACCCTTGAACAGAAGCCTGACACCTCTTTTGCCTCAGCCTGGCCCTTGTGTAACCTTTTACATGAAATACTGAACATGAGATTTAGGGGGCTATTCACTATTGAGCCAAAGGATCTAGCCGTAGCTTTGGCTGATCCTTCGGCTCGCTTCGGCTTCTGGAGCCCTTCGGTTCAGTTGAACTGAAGGGCTGCTGTACGGGCTATTCACAATAACCCATACAGCAGCCGAGCAGCTCAGCTGAGCCGAACGCATATGCTTCGGCTCAACAGAGCTGTAGGCCCAGCCAAAGCGTGGCCTCTTTTTAAACATTTTTATTTAACTCTTTAGTGAATGGGTAACTAATTCACAAGGGGGAGCACATCTGGGTGCCACTTTATTAAAGGGGTACCCTGATGCGAGTAAGCTCCCTTACCTGCACCCCCACAACCAACGCCCCCGGACCTTATGGAGATGAGGCAATTGTCCCCATCGGCACGGGAACAAGGTGCTTTTCCAGGGGGGACCCTGAAAAAGCACCCTCTTAGTGCCGAGGGTGCTTTTTCAGGGTCCACAGCACAAAGCGAGCGACGGAGACACAGGTAAGTATCTACTTATGTGGTAACTTTTTAATTTTTTAAAATGTTTTTGCATATGTCTACTGCTTGCTAGCAGTAGATATAAGTAAAATAATAAGACTTTAATGCTACTTTAAGAAGTTGTATATGAATCTATATGAATTTTGAAGTGCAGGCACCACAAGATACCTGGAAGGCCCCTTGGATCATTTCCCAGACTTTATATAAGTCTGTAATTTCTGCCAATATCAAGATTATCAAGAGTAAACCCCTTTACTCCTGGCACTAACTAATACTCAGTTGTCAAATGCTACAGCTTAAGTAGACAGTAGAGGTCCTAGATTAGACAGTTAGATTACATGGGAGGGGAAATGACACCTGGAGCTGTGCTGCACTGTGGCCTGACTGGCTGGCTCATCATGGGCATGCAACTCACATATGGACTTCCAGTGAATCCTCAATATTGTTACCAGTAGGGCACAGTCCCTTCTATATATTCACATATGCATGAATCTCAAAATGGGATCCAATAAAACAATCCTGTTGTATATTGGCACCATCTTGTTATATACTGTATATTCAAAGGGGTGATTCACAATTAGTGTTGGGCTCGATGTTTGAGCTGAATGTGAGTTTGACTTGAACATCAGCAGTTTGTGTGTTTGGCGAACACATGAACTGTCAGGGTGTAAGACTTTGCGTAATCAGGGCACAGAGAACTGTGAAGCCATGATTGGGCAAAGTCATGATGACTCTGCCCAATCATGGTTCTCCTATCACAACTGTAAACATTTGGGCGGAGCTAGCTGTCACTGCTAGCTCTGCCCAAATGTTTATATGTTACCAGCATTTGTCAAAATGCTATTATGCAGCAGGTGTACGTTGAAGCGAACCAGAAGGCGGTCGTCTGTTTTCTAAAAATGATTTCTATTTATTTTTTGTTTTTTATTTTGCCGAGTCGTCATCGTCGACAACACTGGACGTCGTGATTGACCCTGGATTGCATCGGGAGATCAATTTTATTTATTTGTTTTTGTCAAAAACATGTCGTTTTGTTTTTTTTCCAAATAAAGGATTTTTTTTCAAAAGTCTGGACTTTCTATTTACAATTTTATTTAACCCTTTAGTGAATAGGTATGGGTACAAGTACCCCTTACTCATTCACAAGCGGCGGGTGGCATCTGGGTGCCCCTTTATTAAGGGGTGACCCTGGAAAAGCACCCTCCCAGCGCCGAGGGCATGTGGCCTGGTATGAGGGGGTGCTCACTCGTCCCCCCCCTTTTCTGGCCCTGCCAGGCCTATGCTCGGATCAAGGGTCTGGTAGGGACCCTCCTAAATATTCCTACCAGACTTCAAGGGTCTGGTATGACTTTTAGGGGGAACCCAACGCTTTAAAAAAAAAATTGGTCCCTCCTTACATTCCTACCAGACCTAAAGGGTCTGGTATTGTTTGAGAGGGGGAACTGCACGCTTTAAGAATTAAAAAAAAACAACATTTTTTTTCTTTAGAAATGTGAGTTTTGCTGCAGCAGGTTCTATACATCGTACAGATTTGCACTTTACAGGCAAGTTAAGGGGACCCCCCAGGCATGATATTTAAATTAGTTTTGCATTTTTATTGTTACCCTTTAAGTGATGTTAAAATCACTGCTCCTTACATTTTTTTATTTTTTCACAGTTTTTTTTTCATTGATTCCTGTCCCCCAGGGCAGTACCCGGATCCCCGTACACTTTTTATGGCCAATAACTTGCATATAAGCAATCTTAAAGGGGACAATTGTTTTTTAAAGTTCTACTCCCATAGACTTGTATTGAGTTCAAATTCGAATTCAAACTTTTTGGATGTTCTAAAGTTCGTATTCAAACCGAACTCAGACCTGTTCGGCTCATCACTATTCACAATATGTCACACATACTGAGGGGCTGGAGTCCCCTGCCCCCTAGTCCACATCTAATGTCCTAACACTTCACAAAGCTCCATTTTGGTAACGCATAATAGTCAACATGCATATATATTGCATCTATTGAAGCTCACTGTCCCACATACTGTATAGGGCATATTTATTGTATGAATCTCGCCCGAATCCTGGTTCTTAGCAAGTACTTGATTGTTCAGAGTTAAAACCTCATTTCCACATTGCAAATGTCCTAGCATATATTGTATGGCTCATGTATAGTATATTTTGTATTGGCTGTAAAGATAGTCCATTCCCCAGGCAAACAAAGATGGCTCCACAGGATACAATGGCCCTGATGCGTTTCCCTCTACATGAGGGCTTTTTCAAAGGTATATGACCAGAGTACTGCAATGTATTGCAATGTCACTCCATAGGGTGATGTAGTCCATTTGTGTATTTATATTGTTGCAATTTAAATCAAGTTAAAAGACCATCTCCCCCTACTTGTAATGTGCATGTGAAAACTAGTAAAACTAGTCTGGCAAACAGAGATACAGGATTCGACCATGTAAGGGTTAAATATGGCAGTTAAGTTATGCAATTACTTTTTGATTACATTTATGTTGCATGTCAAGTATGGAAGTATGGATCAGGTGTCATTTGCGACTTAAAGTAGAACTATGGCCTCCCATTAAATATTTGCGCTGCAGCATTAGTTTTCTGCAAGTTCCTCTGCAAAGTCCCACAAATACCTAGAGTGGATACTGGCAAGGAAAGTTCCCATAATGCAGCTTCCTGTGATGGTATGGCAACAATGCCGCGCTGCTCCTGAGTTCAGAGCAGAGTTGCCACTCTAACATAGGCTGTTCCTGCTTGGACTACAGTGGGATGGAAAAAATGTTTTAGAGGGCATGGCTATCAGCATTATTACTGTTGAATCAGCACCTGGCCACACCTAGTCCTGCCCACTGGTTTCTGGATTAGCAGAATATTTTGGCTATGACTGTAAGGCACAAACAAAGGAGGATTTGGCTCAGTCAGGGAAGGTAAAGGAATTGTTTACTTTTTGGGGCTTGTGCATCACATATCAACTGTGTTTGATTCATGTTTAGACTGTCATACAGAAGCTTTTATTTATACTTTAAGAAACTGAGCAATATATACACATGATAGTGGAATTTACATGAGGTTATTTTCTATAATATTCACATATTTTAACAAACACAGAATTTCCATGCCCTCTAGTACCATCCATGGAATGTCAATAAAACCATACATTGCTTTCCCAACACTGAAATGAAATGGATGAAAGTGTTTGAACATATTGAAAAGTAAAATTCAGTAGCCTGTTGGAAATCTAAAAGACACTGTGAATTTTGGCATACAGTATGTATAGTACATTTCCAGCTCTAGGAGTATAAAAACTCTAAAACCCTTTATCCCTTACAATGCAATCCATGGTATTCCTTCCATTTTGCCTTTTCTTATCTCTATACGAGGTCCCAGGTATTTATCATCTTAACATCTGTAGCATTTTTTTTCTTTGTCCCATGTTGATAGAGAAGTTAAAGTTGTTGGGTTTCTTTTTTACCTTTATATTTGTTACAATACTTAGATGGCACCTTCTTTAGAAGTAAGAATTATTATTTTTTTTTTTTTAAATTCAACCCGTATAACAGTGCAATTTCTTTCCAGGTGGTTTTTGAGGCCTTACATAATCTTGAGCCACGTGGTTATGTGGTCGGCTGGATCATTGCCATTAGCTTACTGTTTGGGATCCTTATATTCTTGCTTTTGGCTGTGCTACTATGGAAGGTAAGGTATATTTTAACTTGCCAGTGGAACATAAACTCTTGGAATTCTTAGTATGCTTACTATATTATTCATACAAATAAAAACTATACTTAAGACCAGGGGCAACGAGATACAATGTAACAGTTCTACAGAATGCTGGAGGCAAATAGCAGATGAATGTAACCATTTCTGTTATAGGAATCCCTGTATAAACTGCAGATATACAACAAATGAGGCTGTAGGAATAGGAGTGCATAGGCACACTCACATACCAGGGAATGCTCTGCTATTTTTTAAGAGGAATTCCAGATAAAGGGTAAATGTTTTAGTGTACTGCTTAGACACATTTAACACTTCTAGATGTCCCCTATAACATAAAAAATGTTTACTTTTGAATTCAGATTATTCACAGGAGAAGAGTCCAAGAAAACACAACATATCCATTATATCAAACCATGTATTGTAAAGCTTGAAGAAGGAATTCATTGCTAGAATTGTGAAAGAATAGGGGCAGCCTTGGGCACCTTGAAAATCAAAATGATGTGGCGTCTGTAGTGCAAAGTAGCAAGAAAAGTAGCAAGAGGTGGGTGTGGCCATATTGTGGGATTGAGAGGCTTAAAGGGACATGGTTAATTGAAACCTCAACCTAAACCAGAGATCAGGAGCACATAACACAGCATACGGGGAATCAGAAGTGCATAACGCAGACAGTGCAGAAGTAAGGACTGTGTAACAGGGGATTAGGAATGCATAACGCACAGAGCTCAGGGGTTTAAGAGTGCATAATGCACAGAGTGTAGTGTTCAGAAGTTCAGAATGCACAGGGTAAAGGGGTCAGAAGAGCATAATGTACAGAGGGCAGAGGTAAAGAGTGTGTAACACCCAGAATGCATGCTTGGGTAACTTATTGCAGCACTCAATGGTAAAGCATTAAAACCCCACGTCTTTCTCCTCACAGACAAATCAGCAGCACCACCCAGTAAATGCTCAGCACTGCAGCACCCAGTAATACACACTGTTGCAGAACATAGTGTTACTGGATATGAAGACCACCTGTTGCCCCCTCCTCAATGACAGTCAGTGGCACCCATCCTTCTGTATTTCTTACTGGTAGCTGACTGCTGTTGGAAGTGCCAATTCTGGGAGCAACATTAAGGTCAAGTACCTTGCAAAAGCTCAATTTTTCAGACTATTTTTACAACCAACAGGAACAATTGGGACTGTGCTGGTGTTGGAGCATAATGATGTGCCGCTGTTTTCACCCAAAGTCCACTGCTGGCCTCAGACAGAAACTTTGAAGCAGGTTTTCCATTCAGGGAATTGCAGAGAGGGACTTCATGGAAGCCAAACAAGCAGTATTAGAGATGGGCAGGGGATGGCACCAGAGCCACTGAGTGGCAGTCTGGCAGAGCAGAGTTCAAAAAATAAAATAAATATGGGGTGGGTGCCCCGCACTAGCAATGCCATTACTTACTGTAGATTACTCATTTGTGAACAAAGTACATGAGGATGAGAAGGAATGGGATGTGCAACGATTTAACAGCTATTTCTCATGAGACCCTTTTCTGGCCTTACAGAGGGTAAAATAAAACCACTTTCAACCAAATTTTGATCCATAAAAAAATTGAACAGATAATTTAAACTTTAAAAAATTGACAGTTTTGAACTTGTTGTATGTATGTCTTTAAGGTGGTGATGGTGATAGGTTGGCTTGTTCTGTTTGATTGCATGACTGAAAGCTATTTGAAAGTGGTGGAAATGACTAGGAAATCGTTCTGTTTTTTTGGCCAACATGCATCAAGTGTTTGGAATTACTGTTGCCCTTTGCCATTGGTGACAGACTATTTAGGTCTGTGTAGGAACAAGAACTGACCTGCTGGGCTAGCATTACCCTTTGGGCTCTAGGCTGTTAATCTGTTGCATATTTGCTACTGCTTTCCATTATGGGAGGATAATACATGTTTCAAGTGTTGTTAGAAAACCCGCTGATGCTTTTAGATTAATACCTGTGGTAGGAAATTGCATAAATACCTTGGAATAAAAACAATCAAAGATTAGCCAAAAAGTAATTTCATGGAAATGTGTAGAATAATTCAAGTTTCTTAGCAGGGAAATGTGACTCTTTAATATCCCACTGTGGGGAACTCAGGTCTTTAGTATAGTCTTGAAAATTTACATTTCATTTTTCATTAAGTAAGTTATCCAAGTCGATCTGAAATCCTCGTAATAGTGTTCCTTCTTCTATTTCTTCTGGCTTCCCTCTGAATTCCACTGGCTTTCTGTTCTGTGTGAAAGGACATTCCAAGACAGCATTCCTTGATTCAGCCTTTATGGATATCCTCTTGCTCATTTTATTGTGACACTAACTTCCCTGTTTGGTTCCTGGAAGTAATTATGAGCAATAATAAATAACACCCCGGCCACATTGCTTTATTGACAGAGCCAAGTCTTTTTATGTATGCCTTGTATACGCACTTAGGAAAGTAAAAACTAGATCAAAACTCTAATTGTAGCAATAGGGATTAAGGTCTGTTTTATTATGAAAGTTTGGATGAACTTTCATTGTGTTAGTTCAATATCCAACTAAGCTTAGCTTTCAAGCCACATGACTTTTTGGTAGATCTCGCTTTGAAAATTGTGTATATCCTGCCCTTGTATTTTTCTAATTTCCTCTTTCTATACTTTAACTTAATCTCTTTTCCTTGGAAGCACTGTAGCCTATGAAAATTCTAACTCCACAATATTCCTATAATGTATAGTGTGGAGTAACTAGATTTCTGGGTTTTCTACAGGCATTCGTTTATAGTGATGAATGGTAATCAAAATATTTGAGTCTATTAGAGAATTATGTCCCACCGCTGTCTCTTTTCGGTTCTTGGCAAGCATAGATCACAGAAAGATGCCACCAAAGAAGGTCACATCTTTCTGCCTTGAGGAAGGGACCCTACGCGGCCCCGAAACGTCGGTTTATTTGGATGTCTGTGACGCTTTCTGTCCAATACAAGGGACATATTTATCTTTACTACTGAGTGCTGGTGATTTCCTGACTTTCCTGTGTTTGCACGGCGCCATCCGTGGTAATTCATCACTGCGAGCACCACTTTTTTTCTTATCTGGCCGGGACTGCTGTGGGTAGTGTGGAGGGTCTCCCCATCGACTTACATCTGTTCACCTTGCAAGGGAATTTTCCTTTAGTGAATACATTGAAGTTCTACTAACTGCATCATCCAATGACGTGCAAGCAAAAATACAGTTTTCTTTATTTTCCTTGCTTGAATCTTCTCCACATGAACTAAGCTAAAGAACAGTTAAAAGTGGAAATTCACTTGAAAAATAAATCAAATTCACTTTGCCTTTAGTAAATCAATTCCACTGGCTCAGTGATTACTTGCATCCCTTCTTGCTCTCAGGTTTGCCACTGTCCAGGGCGGATGTCCAGAAACTACAGCACAAAAAAAAGTGTAAAAAAACAACTGCAGATTGATGCTGTAAATGTAGCCTTCCCACATGCATGTGACAATGCCGATGTGGTGTATGTAGTTGACATTTACAATTGGTTTAGTATGATTTCATGCTCTCTGATGCTTTGGATTATCAACAAATGAGAAGCAGTCAAGGTTCAAATATCCAAGCATATTTGTTGACAATACTGAAACATATTTGGAGCCCATTTATACTGTTGATTGATTGCAGATAGCTTATCAATGCCCTGTTATCTGCTAATGCTTAAATGTGCATTAAAAAACACAATGCCTTTTTAAAAAAGAAAATGATAGTGATAAAACCTTTAGTAGAATAGCAGAAACATTGTTCAACTGAAGAAACTGTTAAGTGTTTTAAACTTAATTCTGTTTAAACTCCTCACCACTTTATCATTTACTCTAAATCTAATGATCAGTGTAAAAGTTATGCATTACATTACACAGGGCCATTGTTTAAAAGGGTTTGAGAATAATTTAGATATGTTTGAAAATAATCCTTCCTGCCTTCCTGATTGTTATATTACATGTTCATTACAAATGAAAAGGATTAGCGTCTCCAGCATTATCTTCTGTTCTGAATTATGATTCTGAGAAAATATTATACCCTTATGTACATTAACATGCATTATAAATAAGTGGTTCAACTAAAAGGAAAAAATCAACAATTTCCAAGTATTAATTTTATATTGGAACACTGTATTAAATGTTTGTAAAGTAAACATGTAAATTAAAAAAAATGTTAGCCAGAAACCATAATAGATTCTCTTTAAAGCTATAAAAGCCTATGTAATAGCTTTCTGAAAACCTTGCACAACAAGCTGCATATGAACCTTAATTTGAAATCAGTTATTTAATGTAGTTAATTTACTAACAAAGTAAAGACTGTTGACTCACAAAGAGTGTTTACTTAGAAAGATAATGCTTGCTTAGCTATATCAAATATTCTAGATCTGTGTTTACTTTCAATACCCATTCATGAGAAAGTAATTGAAGTAATTCAACTCATATACTAAGCTAAATGAAAGTTCAGTGAACAGTCTCATCACCTTTAGTAAATCAAGCCCAATGTTTAAAGCTGTTTTTTTTTTTTAACCATTGCTTAAAGGTAATGGCATCTTTGCCATATTGAATTTGCCAGAATTTATTTTCATGAATGTGACTTTGGAGAATCCAGGTCTTTTTTAGTTTTAATGCAAATCATATTCGCCAACACTCTGCACATGAAAGTTCATTATTCAGAATGTCTGGCTGAGCTGAGATGCTAGGTACATAGAATATAACAGCAAACAAGTGCTTCTTCTGGAACAAAATATGAAATACAGAATCGATCATAAATGTTGTACTTACTTTCCCATTGGAAGTACATACAAAACATGCCTGGACAGCAATGGCTGCACCACAACGTATTATTGTTTTTTATTTCTGTACTGACTGGCCTGTCAAAAAATGTGGGAACACAATAAAATGGCATACCTTGATTATTTCAATGTAGGCAGTCGATTTAGTTTCAATACGCACGTGCACAAGTGTTCTTCTTTCCTGAAAATGAATCTCTAAGAACGTATTGTTGCAGGAATTGAAAAGAACCTAATTTATTTTAACACAACCACTGCCAAGAGAAACAGCACAGGTTGAGTCAAAATCCCCAAGCAGGCATAATGAATTCATTCATTTGTACATAAGTAACACAGAATTCTTCCATAGCCACATTTTTCATTTACTCTGCCATATTCTGAATGTCTTTATTTGAAATATATATACATTTCCTTTTCCTATGCTTTTGGTTGCAGCATCAATAGATTCAAATAACAATTAACTAGTAATACGGCTTAATAATAGTAAGGCTTGAAAAAAATTACAAAATAACCAGTTTGTAGACATTCTTAAAAGATTAATGAAAATTAATACTACACTTTGTTATAAGTGACTACTGTTGCCAGATCCCATTTACATATGTATATTATGTATCCCATCAGCCTTCAGGTTTTGAGCACTACAGAAAATACAGTAGTAACAGCAGTAGTTGTGGTAATAAAAATAATAATGATATGTGGTTAAAGAAACCCTGACACCTTGCTCATTCTGTGTAAGGGGGCGCCCAAACACATTAATATTCAGATTGCCATAGATCCCCTGGCACTCCTTCCACCATAGCAGTTGGCACCAAAATCCACAGTGACAACTGGTGTTGGACACTAAGGGGAGCAGTAACGGCACTCCCTCCATCATGTGACAGTGCCCTGGCCAGAGATTGTCTGCTAAACTTGTGGGGGACTCCTGTCACATGGGTGGAGCTCGCTTGCTCTCTTACACCTGGAATTACCAAATATCTTAATTGCCTGAGGAAGTGGAAGAAACGCTGTTAGGTGAGTATCAATGCATTGGGGAGCCTTTTGCACAGATACTGTCACTTTAAAATAGACTAAAGACTATACTAGAAGAAGTCTAAAAAATAAATAAATAACATACACCTATGATTTCCCACTGGTGGAGCATAACGTGCACACGATTAGTCTTGACCACCATTGAGGGACTGGTTTCAAAATCCCAGAAGCCAGCTTTTGATAATAGAATGTGCAACATGGAGCCAACAATTCACAAAGTAGAGAAAGGTTGCAAACTTTAGGTTTGCGTTATGCATACAGAAATAATTCAGTTAACTAACAAAAAGATAGCAGATAAGATGCGTATGGCGGATAAGATTCGATACAGATGCGTATGATTTGTACAATTGAATGCAGGCTGCCCATGTTGCTCATGTTGTTACTCATAAAAAGAAAAAATGCAGTAGTACACTTTAATGCACAAATCTAGTACACAAGTACAGTAGTACACAAATCTGACAGTCTGCATGGAGGAGTAATTGCAAAGAACATGACAATAGAACTCAAAACAAAGTGAATGTATTTCCAATTTCAAGAACACCTGGAATGTTATATGGGAGTTGGAAATGGGCGCCAAGTGTTCCTCAGGTGTCTGTATGTACAATGCCTTTAAACTGCTCAAATAAATCTGTCATTAATAAAAAAGTCTAAAGTACTAGATCAGTGGTTCTCAACCTTTCTAGGGCCGGGACCCCTTGTTAACATTTGCCAAGTTGTGGTGACCCCCAACGGTAAAATTTGGGGTTGACGCGGCTGCTGCAGCGACATCTGGCGGACTGGCGGAGAACTGACACTGCTGCGTTAGGAGAGGGCTGAGGAGGACTCTCACCTAGCAAGGCAGAAATCACACAGCGACCCACAGGTTGAGACCCACTGCTGTAACAGCTAAAATGGCAAACCATATAACACAAGCCGAGTTTGTCAGCTTTTATTATTAATAATAATGATGATAATCACTAGATGGGGACCTGATGGAGAACTGCAGGTCCCCCTCTGCTGAGTGACAGCAGCAGTGGGCGGTTGCAATAGCTAGTTTGCTATTGCAAAGTGAAATAGCCAATAGGAATCTAGCTATGCATTCCAAGCAGAGCACTTTCCGGGAGGAAGTGTTTCTCTCCCGGGCATCCCGGAGCCGCTATCTAATAGTGGGAGACTCCCGCCGACCCCTGGCAAATTGTCATTCGACCCCCAAAGGGGTCCCGACCCACAGGTTGAGAACCGATGTACTAGATAATTATTTCCCACTACTCTGATCCCTGCTGCCAGCTACAATGTCTCAGATAATAACTCTAGTGCAAACTCCCTGGCCCATGCAATAATGCTGGTTCTTGGTGATTGACCATTCAGCTACATTGTGAGGAGAGGGGAGTGTCACATGCTGCCCTGTACCCACAAATAACATGATTTTTACCAAGTGACAGAGATCAGAGAAACAGATGAATGGCAGCAAAGTTAAGTATAGGCATGGTTGAGTTGAAGCTTTAGAATTCTTTTTTGAATAGGTTTGCTTGAAGCAGCAAGATTTTTTTTTCCAAATCTAAAAATGTATTCTAATATATTTGTATTTAAGAAAGATAATAGATTTGAATTGTAATATATATTTTTGCTTTTCTCTCTTTCTCTTTTAGATGGGATTCTTCCGTAGAAGGTACAAAGAAATTATTGAGGCAGAGAAGAATCGGAAAGAGTATGACGAAAGTTGGGACTGGGTCCAAAAAAATCAGTGAGCGGCATATGCCATTCTTGTCACCAGACACCCATTTGCTAGCTGATTGGCTCTGCTCTTGTATCTTCCATATGTGGAAGAGAAAAATCTTCTCCAGATTTTCCGGAGGCTCCTGGATGCTGTTTATTCCTTTATCAAGCTGACTAGCAAAGAAGAGTGTGTCCTGAGGCAACCACTGAAGCTAGATGAAGTGATTGGAGCAATACCATTTCCTCTGCCAAGATAAACTCTGACCATCATGCTGCAGTGAATAGCAATATTTATAAATCCATCATTTTTATATGGTATATCTTCAGGGGAAGGCCTGTTTCCTAGAAATTATTTTTTTTTATAAATGTACAACTTTTATATTGGTTGTCTTTATATGTGATGATATGATGTAAGGAATAGATGTACAGTTTTTTAAAACGCACTGATAGCTGATACATAGCTACATCCACTGAATCCTCAAACCTGTTAACTCTGGAAACTATAAACACCATGGCTAATTTACTGAAGTGAAAAGCGAAGTGAACACTTGTCGATTTTATACTTCCAATAATGTGCAAGAAAAATTGAAAAAAAAAACAAAAACAATGGCACTGTTCTAAAGCTGAAAAATAATTGGATGTTTGAAGGGAATAAAGGTTAATGTCACCAATTAGTAAATTAGATCCAGGTTCACCTTATTTCAAAGTTTAGTTAATCAGGCCCAACAAAACATTTATTCAGGGGGTTTCTAAAGGTTAAAAAAAGTATTCATTTCCAAAGTTTACAATATAAGAGGAACAGTAGCTACATCTTTGCTTGATGAATACTTGTATAGATTTATATGAGAATTTTTGTGTATATATAAAAACACACACATACATTAAGTACATATGTTAAACCACCATTTTGAGTTATAAGCTCATCACCTCTCAATATGTATATATGCACATACATACACATTTACATTGTCATGTTGTTTCCATATTCTATTGTCTCTTATGTGCACTGCATAGCTAAGTGTTGTGTTTGTGAAAGCACTATATGAGCATATGAGAGAGGAAATATGATGCACTTTTAGAAAGGATTATGAACCTCATATGTTTGTACATTTATAAATGAAAAAAAAAAAAATCAACATTCTTTCAATTTACATGCAATATATATAACTGAGAGAAGATCTATGAGACATAGATTACTCATTTATTATATTGACCTTTGTTAACTGCTGTCTGTAAGAGAAAATATATTCCTTAAGGGGTCACTATCATTTAAAAACATAAAGAATTAAAACATCTTGTTTGGTTAGAACTATAGCTGCTTGTTCAGGTCTGCATGTCTTTTTAGGTATTACTCTGTGGTTAAAAGTCTCTTTATGGTGAAGATCTAGATGTGTGATAACAGCTTAGGACCACTCACCTCTCAACCCATTTGCTCAGGACAATCTAAGTCTAGCCACATACAGCCCCATGGGATGAACAAGAAAAAAAAGACTCAATTACATGCTTTTTAGTGTGAATGGGGGAATCCCCCTCCCACCCGCCATGCCATTGTATTGTGACAGCAGCGGGTTTGCCAATGTCAAAATACCCCAACAGAGATTGCAGCTGATTGACTGAAATTTTGGACTGGCTTTTTTGTAAACAATTGATTGAAAAATTGACTTGTCAAATGGGGGAAGGGGTGTCCTCAGGGGGCAACACAGTGTCAAAATTTGACTAGTGTATGGCCAGCTATAATGACATAAAACCTGTCCTTAACCTACATAGACTAGAAAGTGAGATTGTTCTTAAAGATAAGAAATCTGGAAAGGTGATGAAGTAAACAGTTTACAAACTGGCAATATTTTATCATCTCTTAAAGCTGACCATACATGCTGTGCTGCATAGTATTTGTAAATTCATATATACATTAATTGTTGCCGTGCCAGGGACGTCTCTATACTGTGTGTTTTGTTACTAATTATTTACTGCTGCTGTGGAGGCAATTTTGCTGTTGTACCATTTCCTAAGTTGCCTTTTGTGTATTTACATTGTGATATTGTGTGAGTCAGTATGTTTTGTAGAGGGGTTGACATAGATACACATATTATAGTGTCAAACACTGGACTGCATAAAAGCTTTTTTTCTATTGGAAAGAGTAGAGGTAAAAAAGAGCCCATTGGAATTATTTACTGATTTTAACAGCTCCTTATGTTAAAATATATATCAGCTTGACGAGTTCTTCTTTAACATACAACGTTTTATTGCATGCTCAACATCATTAGTTACTGCTAAGTTTACTTGAATTGTTGGATGTTTGCAGCATTTCCACAGACCAAAACTGTAGCTAAGGGTGGGCTTCACCAGTGTGATTATATTCCATATTTGTCCAAACGGCAGACAGGAGCCAGCAGGGTGACATGAAAAGTATTGTCACCCTTCTTATCCTGCGCAGCACTATGGCTCAGCATGTGGACCAGAAGAGTGAGCATTATTGTACAAATCTCTCAGGCCCTTAAAAATAACGCAAACCTAAAAGAGGCATATACTTGTCCTGCTCCATCAGCAAAAGAATATCAAGAGGAGTAGATTATTTTTCCAGCCTTACATGGCCTTAATGAAGGCACATGCCCATTAAAAGAAAACTATAAATGCCATAATCTCTCATATTTACTATATGTGATGTACTTAGTAATTACATCTATAATCCAATGAATGATTAATTTGCAGCCTTCCTTTACAGACTGCTTATTTGGGTAGACACAAGATGTCTAATCTGTTATGACATAACCATGAATCAATAAGCCATTGGTGGCAATCAGGAAAGCCAGCAAGGGGACCTAACAGAGTAAGGAAGGAAAAGAACCTGAGCAAATAATGTGACTGGAAGATTAGAGGAGGAAAGTAGGAGAGAGATATATTGGGGGTCAATGATTAAGTGATGATAGGTGAAAGATTGACCTCTATGGGAACAAAAGTAATACCCCTAAAGGTTAGGACAGGGGTGCCCACAAGGAACCGGGGGAGGGCGGTGGACGGAGCCGCTGTCACAGAACTAATGCAGAGCGGTGAGGAGAGAGAGAGACGCTCGGCCAGGATCTGACAGCCGGCGCCTCTCTCTCCCCTCACTGCTCGTTCACTTCTCGTCGGATCCCCCTCTGCCTCTGCCCGGGAGAGCAGGGGGGATGCAGAGGAGAAGCTGAGCCCATTTGTGCGTGGCTGAGCGGCAGAGGATCGGTACATGTCAGTAGTATGTACCAATCCTCTGTGCAGGACAAACACTGGAGCGATCGTCTGATCACTCCAGTGTTTGTAAATAACTGGGGACACATAGTACTATGTGTCACCAGTTATAATGGGCGAGGGGCCTGCCTACGGAGCCTGGCTGCGGTGCCATTGACTTCAATGCACCACCCCGCCCCCTCCCGCCCCTGAATGCAGGTTTTTTTTTCGTTGGTAGATCTCAATGAGCTCGTCATTTGAAAAGTAGATCTCCAGACGAAAAATAGTGGGCGCCCCTGGGTTAGGATATAAAACAACCAAAGCAACTAAGCTAATTCTTAGAAGTCTCTATATCTAAAATATGTATATTCAGAATTGGTGTTCAACATTCTAATAAATATGTGAAAAATATAAAAAAATATTAGTTATTTCCACATAAAAGATAGTTATGCAGTGTGTTCCTCTCAGTTACAACAAACTACTCGAGCAAATTTATTAGAGATACCAGTGATTTAGAGATTCCAGGAATTTGATTCAGTAGACTCCAAAGTCAATCTGAACACCATGTAGATATAAATGCAGCTCTGTGTTAATTAATACATCACTACCAGCAGACTCCTTCGTCATTTCAAATGCCATTCTTTTCTGTCTAAACAAATAGCACAGACAGGGAAGTGGTTCTCTAGAGTGGTATGTCCCTCAACCATCCTGTGATCAGGAAGTTATGACATACTGCTTGGGAAGAGAATGGCATCATTTTGAGTGAGTCTGCTTGTGGAGTACTGTGTCCCATAATAATAAGAAATTACTTTGAAGTCAGCTGGATGGAATCCCTGGTACCTGTATTGTAAGCAGCTTAAAAAGTATGAGCTTAGAGGACACTTCTGCATTAGTTAGCAAACTATTCAGTTTTTAATGTTTTTATATATTGAGACATTTAGGTCAACAGAGAAGAACAGAGATTTATTGGATTGAGAGGAGGAGGGAAACAGGGAGATGAAAAGATTGGGTGAGCAATCGGAATAACCAGTCCATAATAAAATGCGGGGCCATCTATTCCAAAGTAATTTGAAATGAAGGACTGATCACTTGCAGTAGCCTTGCTGATTGACTGAAAGTATGGTAGCTTGTTGGTGTGTCAGTTACGTGAATTTATAGCTGACCTCCAGATATACAGCTAAGTTGAATACATGCATGGGAACTGTCTTACCTGTCATCACATATGTGACTCTGTTCAATTAGTTTTGTAATTAAGGCAGTTCAGTCAGATAGCACAGTCAGTTACAGGATGGGGATGAGTGAAGTACACTAAAAGGTGCCCATACACTGCACGATTCTCGTACGAGAATCGCGGGAAATCCCGCGATCGTATGAGAATCGTGCAATGTATGCAAGGCGTGCGACCGTTTCTAATGTACGGTCGCACGACTTTTGTATATCGAGCATGTTGGAAAACCAGCCGAGAATCGTACGATTTTCGGCTGGTTGTTAACATGATCGGGAGATCACTGCCAAACGGGCACACTGCCCGTTCAGCATTGCAGTCATCGGAAGCCCACCCCTCAGGGGGGCGGGCTTGCGATGATCGCAAGTATGATCTGCCTGTCCAAGATGGGCAGATCGTACGTTTTTTAAGTACTTTACAACCATCGCAAGACAAAAGTCTTGCGAGGGTTGTAGAGTGTATGGGCACCTTTATCCCAATAGTTTTAGTCAAATCTGAGGCAATCTTACACTGGGATCATTCTAGGTTTTCTCCTACTCCTCTCCTTCCTGCATTGTTGTACCTCACTGGCCATCTGTACAGGTCCCCCTCTCCTCTCCTTGGTTAGAAATAAACTGCTTTGTGCTTCATTATATTGGCTTACACCATCAGACATTATAGAGACTGTCGCATAGCACTTTTAACTTGATTTGGTCAGGCTGGTGCAACACCACATAGGACTTGTGGTGTACCATTGTTAATGTAGTGCTGGAAAAATGTGCCAATATTTACACCACAAAATTGACGAAATAGAAGAGGAAATAATTATTAGTGTGTCTTGTAAACTGCTACTATTTTTATTTTAATCGACTTGTAAAACACCCGGATATGTTATTTTATACTATGAGTGTGAAGTTTTTGGACAAATTACTGTTTACGAGATAATTTGATCGTTTTATTACAGAAATAAGATGTAGCTGGGTAGTCTGTAAATATCTACATAAAACATAATTGCCTTTACTG